AGGAATGCTGCTCGGCTTTTATGTACCATGGGCCAAGCAGGAGAGGGGCTGTTTTCGGTGCTGCGTGAGCCAGGCATTCACATGGTCGCGTAATGGCTAGATGGTAGATTCCGATGCATTAGGCGAAAGAGCTACTCACTCCTTGGCCATTGCTAGCCAGCGAGGGGCTGGGTTTTTAAAGAGCTGATGCGCCTCCGCAAACATGGCGTGGCCCCTCACTCGTCCATCCCTACAACAAGATACCCCTCACGGCCGTGACGGAGACCCCGTCCCAGCGGCTGCATACCTAGACATAGCGCGTATGCTTGGGCGAAGGGGGCAAACAAAAGGTCCCCGAACCCCCAAGCGAAGAGGAAAAGAGGTGAGAAAGAAAAAGGGTATCAAGTAGACAGTAGCCACGACGATGTTTGAAGTATAGAAGCCCAATGAAAAGAACAAGATATATATATATATATATATATCCGCCGTGTCGTGGCCGAATCTGGAAGGTCTCCGGAGACTCGGACAGGACCACCGGGCTGGCCCGGTTGACTCCGGTGGGGCGTATACCTTTGTGTCCGCGTTTGTATAAGATGCGGTAAACATATCAGCAGTCCCAAGTGCTAGGCATAGACTCAAGGCTAGAACATATTTCCCCCAAAGAACTTGGCAAAAGTTTGAATAATTGCTTCGTCATGGCGACAACGTCTTTGCTGAGTTCGAACCCAGCAGCCCAGGTCCGCCGCCACATCAGAGCAAGAGGCGAGAGCAGTGCGACACACGCAAGATTTGGGCGCCCCAATCACGGAGCCCAAAGCTGACCGGGTCAAAGCCAAGGGCCAATTTTATCGTTTCGAGCTGATTGATCGACCGTCCCTGTCTGGCGGCCACCATTTCCCGCAGTCCCTTCGGGCAAAGATGCTACTCATGTGATGTTACCACTTGGGCTGACGACCCCGATGCATTCCCTGACTCCCCTTGTGCTTGCTTCGTGAGCACACATGGACTGCAGAGAAGTCGACTGGCCGATTCGTGCCGCTATTGCTTTGGGTGGCCTGAAGCCTGGGCCCACGACGTGCACGTCAGGCAATGAGATGCAGCTCATCAGGCGAGAGGCCCAATCTGCCCTTTTGTTCATCCATCGGGCTAGGCGTTGGTTTCAAAGCCTCCCTCAGGCCTTTTGCCTTTGGCTTCCCCCGTTTCTGTGCCCCGCGCCGCCATGTACGTACATGATGCAAATCGCCGCATTTTGTCGCCCAGGCGTCTTGCACACGCACGGGCTCGGCATGTATTGATTGCCCACTTGCAACCCAACTAGTCTCGCGCGGTGAATGAGGTGTCTTATGGCTGCTAGCACGGAGAACGTGCGACGACACAGTACATGGAGGCTAAGCAAGGCCGTGTGCCAATCGCAGCAATGTCCGCCGTGGAGATTGTTGGCGGTCCAAGGACGAGAATGAATTCCTGCCGGCATGCGACTGGTAGCGTGTACAGTATGGTGTATGCGGGTGCGTGCCTCAAGCTTTGCGGTCGCCCAGCAGAGGGCGGCTCATCCGACGCCGGTGCCGATGCGTCTGCTTGCTCGACAGACGGCCGATGGAGACTTTGAGACTTGGAGCGCCCTGAGGACGACGCAGACGGGCCCGACTTGGCTGGAGCTCCAGCTGGGGACGATGTGATTTGATTTGATGATCAGTGTAGCCGTGGCATGCTTTGACTGAATGGATGACCCGAGGTGGGCTACCTCTTAATATTCTCCTTGCTATCACGCGTGCTTGCCGAGTTCTCTTTCCTCCATCTCTCTTCCTTCCTTCTTCCTTCTGTTCTTGCCATTTGTCGCAGCTCCCGCAAGGCCTGTTGCACCTGCCTGCGCTCTCCGACTCTCAGCTTTGCTCCAGCTCCAGCTCCAGCTCCAGCTCCAGCTCCTGCCTTTTCTCTACTTTGCCCTTGCCGCTTGCCCTTGCCGCTTGTACTTTTGCTCCTTCTCCCGCTGCGGCCTTCTTATCCAGCCAGTCCTCCCACCTCGCCCTTCCTCCGCACGTCCACCTCGCCCAGCTTCCGTGCATCTTTTCCTCTTCTGAAGCCATCGTCGGCCTCTTCTTGTTCTTCGTCGTCGACTTTATCCGCCACGCTTCCTGCCACCGAATCAGCGCCCCGCTGCCAGGCCAGCCATAGCCCAAACAGAGGCCTTGACGGTGGCCCTTGGCGTATCTTGGCCGATCCGTGGGGAGCTGGAAGCCACTGCGCAGGCAGGAACCTACAAGGTTCTCGTCACGGTGCGCCTCCTAAAAACAACATTTGCCTACTAGGCAGGCCAGAACCCTGCGGAGCTGTTATCTCTAGCAACAAAAATCTTGCTGTAAATATCGCCGAGCTCTGCCCCGCGCACGTCAGCCCCGCGTAACGTTGGCCTTTTACGTTGTCCTTCGACGTTGACCTTCTGCGCTGAGGATCTACATTGGAGATCTACATTGGAAGCCTCATGTACTGATATATAAAATACATTGAAAGACAACGACTCGTTACAGACAGCTCGAGACGCCCAGGCTTTGGTGTCTGTTATAATCCAGGGGCGGGGAAGAGAGCTACTGTAGCTACCAGGTAGGTAGCTCCCAAGCAGTAGCGCAAGTGCAAGCCATAATTGGCACAAACGCAATCCCCAAGAAAAAAAGAGTTTCCGAGTTCGCCGGCGGTGGAAAGTAGAGGCAGCGCCCAACCGAGCAGGCCACATTCGACGCCTGAGTCTATTAACGGCTGTTGCGCCGCGCGATATATATAAACGTCTCCGTTTTCGTATCCCATGAAAACGGAGGCCTGTTCGATCTTCAACCTGCAGTTTTATTTTCTCAATCTCAGAAACATTGGCTTACATCGCCTCACGCGCCCAAGCTGTCTCTTGGATCCTTCTCCGTCACGGTTCTCACGCCTCGGCCACTGCATGTTTCTTATTAGGCAGCTGGTCAGATCTTGCCCAACCTGGCCTCTATTCCAACATCCGCTTGATCAAGGACTTCCCCAAGGGCTTTCCTCAAGGCTCTGCTGGAGGAACTACGCCCGAGCGTGGATGAGCCCGTCGCTACTGCCATTCTGAAGACATCAATTGATCTATTATTCATGAGCCTTAGACTGCTTGCCCGGAGCTCTGGCTACCATCGACCTTGGATCTGCTTCCCGGGGGGATCGACGACTGCAACAAGGATCCTGCTCTTGTTTTCCCTACATCCGGCTTTGCTACTGGATCACGCCTCGTAATCTTTCTAAGACGACACTGTTATTGTTTTATTGCTATTCATTGCTACCTCTCACGGTGATTGGACTGCCTTCACTAACCGCTCCTATTTCTCATCTCTTGTTACTCAGGCCGAGAACAACTTCCTCACCGTCTTCCCAGCGAAAAGCCTTGGAGCGAGTGTGCCACCTCGGTGCATGGCAATTTTGAGAGCTGCGCATCGACACCAGGCTACGGATAGCCTGTAATGGACAACCCCAACAACAGAACGCCTCACCCAGGCAGGCCGTACCATCCAGAACCCCTTAATGGACCGCCGGTGCCCTCCTGGATGCCCCCCGAGCACAATCATCCATCGGGGCCACAACCACAAGCATATTTGGGACAAAATCATGCTCCCCGGCCTCGGGCTCACCACTCGCTAGGTCGACCTAGTACGAGCCTCGAACCTTACCAAACGAGTTTCAGTGGTGTACCTTTGTTGCCAAACCCCATATCTCAGAGCTACACTCTGCCACACCCTAATGGGGGTTTATATATGCCTCACCAGGGCCATTGGGCTTCTCACCCAATGCAATCTCCTATTCCGCCCAACTATGGCGGCATGGTGAATATGTCAGGCGGGCTCACGTATGAGCCAATGCCAGCACTACCAGCCGTAGGGTCGGGGTATCCGTCGCAACCTCCCGCAAGTAATATGGGGATGGGAATGCATGCCAATACGGGTTTGGACGGAACCATGCCAGCATTGCCCTACTATGTCGGTCCTCCACAGATGCATCAAGTAGGGCCAGTAGGGCTAGATCCTCAGCCGGCGGGTTCTGCCACATATAATCGCCGGCTTGCATCTCGCATGGCACGAGCACAAAGTTACTACTCGCCTTCATGTAAGTGATGCGGAATATGCTTACGCCTTTTCTGTAGCCATGACTGCCAAAGTCGTAGCCGTGGCACTTTGTTTCCTCAATACTTACATTCTACTTGATACAGCACCGCCCATATACCACGATTTTTCGGCGCCGCCGCCACATCGAAGATCGACGTACTCCAGCAGAGCACGGCGGGCGTCACTGAATACGCGCCCAACGGCATCAGGTCCGAGCAGAGATACCGAAGAAGACGACGGTCACAACAACAATGAACACCGGCCGGGTGTGTTGGATCATCAAACGGCTCAAGAGCCTGCGGCCGCTGCGGAAAACAGTCCTACTCGTCCGTTGTCGAAGGTTTCGTCCATGGAAATGCTTTTACATTATTCATTAAGCATTAAAATTGAAGACCTGCCTGAGAAAGATAGAGGTACGCGTCGCGAAGACGACCATTTCACTCCCCAAATCCCAGGCCCACTCACGCGGTATATGCGTCATGAAATTGGCAATGAGACAAATGGCTAACATGAACATGTAGAATGCTCCATATGCTACAACAAATATGGCACAGAATTCCCCGAGGGTATAAGGGAGGCACCTCGACGACTGCCAAAATGCCGACACGTATTTGGAGACTACTGTCTCAAGATATGGCTGAAGCAGTCTATCAGCTGCCCCTATTGTCGCGACAAACTGCCACTACGATTTGACCACGAGTTCGAATCCCGAAGAGCCCAAGCCTACATGACTTATATGAGAGCCCGAGCCCGAGTTCCTGTTCCTCCAGAGCCCCCAGGTCCTCCATTGCCAGGTCCTCCAGGTCCTCCAGGGTTGCGTTAGCCCAGTCCCCAAATACTGCGAGCCGGATGTTGGACTAACGCTTTTTTCCATAGGACGTCGCAAGAGAGGCACTCGGGGCTCATGATTCCTGCTATGCATGACGAAGAAGAAGTTGGTGAAGGTCACGTTGTTGCTATACTCGAACAGCAGCTACACCGCAGCGCAGAAACAGATTTGTCCGCTTTTGACAGTGAGAATACGCCATCGGACTCATCGAGCGCGCCAGCTTCACCAGTTCGAGCCTCTCTGCGAGATGTATCGAGATTCACTCAGTGGTCATCATCTCGTGCAGCTCAACAATTGGTCAACCGAAGACAGAGGCGTTCCCGAAGTAATTTGCCACCTGTCCAGCCTCTGCAGTCTGATGGCTCGACTCAACCGAGCACAACGATGCCGGGTGCGGATGCTAGAGAGCACGAAAGCAGCCAGAGCCTGGGAGATGCTGGGCATGGATCAGCCGAGATATCAATGGCTCCAGCAACAACAGCGCAGAATAGAAATCGACCCTGGTGAGAAGATGCGGCTTAGAAACGAAATGAATGCGTTTGTCCTTTTATTTGTGGCTCGACGCTGATATATACGCGGCTTTATAGGGACTCATGTCCCTTTGTCCTCCTCGTTGTGCTTGCTTTTCATTGCGTCCGGAGTTTTGGGCACTTTATCTTTCTTGATACGAAATTGGAGGGTTTGGCTAATTTCCATGAGAATGGGTCGCGATAACTGGCTGTTTGTGTATATGCGTTTTATTTTTGGGGGCTTCCAAAACTGCAGCTCTTGTTAGACGAGGGCATGTCTTTTCTCCTTTCTTTTGAGTTTGCTTTCCTGGGTTATTATTACATAGCGAGGGCGCATTAAGCGGGTGATTTGAAGTGTAGCAAATCAATTTTTGATTATTTATTTGTTCAAGCTTGGTGTACATCAATCAGCCACTTGATGTCTCTCGCAGCCCAGTAATTAATGATTACGAGAGTTATAGTCAGGTAGAAAGAGCAGTATCAATAATATCGATTGCGGTTGGCACAGAGCAACATGCGCTAAACTGGAGCTTAAGTAATACTACTAGCATGGATTTCTTGTTGCCTATTCGGGCAGAGTCGATGTTGATGGCGCTATTAGCAGCACCTCGCCAAACCTGCTTCCTACTAGTCGTACGCAGTAGCACCAGCGGACGAGTCGGGAATTTTTATTCGAGCTGAGCTGGAGCTGATGCTTTGCCGGCAGGGCCAGTTGCCTCGTGGGTGTCCGCATTTATGCGATTTTCGCCAGAGAGAGGGACGGGGCCGGAGGGCAGCGCATTCTGGCTGAATGCCGGTCGGTATCACGATTGAGACCGACCGAAGCTGTTTCGGAATTGGAGGGCAACGCCACCTCGCATTTGCAGCGCATCATACTTTTGAGCAAAGGCTCCGAGCACCTCCCGTAGAGCTACACGTTGCTTTCTAGGAGTGGAAATTCCGTGTCCGTCGTATTACGTATGTGTGGCAGCATCGCGCCCATGGGCCTCATACGTCAGCTTCATCTTTTCTTTGGATAGAATACGATGCTAATACGGCCCTTTTTTTCTTTTTTTGCTGAACCCCGTCTTACTTTGTACACGCCGGCCTACTCGTTTTATTTTACCTTGTCCGGTTTGGCTTGCTCTGAATACAATGTAGTCTGGTGGTCTGGACAGAACAATTTACGGGTAGTTTGACTACGAAAAGTTGACAAGGAACAGGGAACAAGGAATCTTAGAACGTGGTGCCGGAATCCCGGTCAGTAAAGAGCTGGATAGACCAGCGAGTTCCGCTAAGCTGGTAGCTCGGTAGGTAGTAGCCAAGTAGCTAATTAAGCTGGAGTTTGCGGATTCCGATGCCCCGGGTTGGGCGAATTACGGGCACGGCATTCGTGGATTTATAAAGAAACAAAGGGGGTGTTTTGGAGCGAGAAGAGTTATGGGAGGGCGATACTAGAAAAGGCGAGCGAGGTGGAGAGGGTTTTTATCTAGCTCAACCGCTGCTGCAACTTTCAATCATTGAATTTCATTTTTCTTTCTTACCTTTTGATCATCGCCGTGCTACTAAAATTTGGGGTTTAAAAAGGGAGCACGGGACTCTTTTATCGAGAAATAGCCCGGCACGTAAGCCCGAGCAAGGTTCGCGGCGCGTTTCAACGCCCTTTTTTTTTGTTTACTTTTTTGGAGGTTTTCAAGGTCATCTATTGAACAAAGGACCGGATTACTTGACTTGCACCTTTTTTTTTTTTTTTTTTTTTTTTTTTTTTTTTTTTGCTTTTGCTTTTAAACCGTGAGACTCCTCGCGAAACCAAGAAACTCAAAAGCGGATTAAGCCTCTTGCTATTCCCCGAAACCTTGTTTAGCTTACTCTCCGTATTCCCATCCCCCTACCTGGGATTCTTGAAAAGGAAAAGGGGAGGGCCTGGTTTCTTTTTTCTTCTTTTTTCTAGCACTTTTTGTTTTGTTTTACAACCATCACAGCTGGCCCTCTTTTTGTGGCTACTAGTTCTCTCTTACCAGAGGGCACTTGGCAGGCGAACGGGGGACATAGATACGCGGGACGGAGACTCGCTTCGCACACTGACTACAAGTTTGTCAGAGCAGACGGCAGGTTGAGGCCATGGCGCTCAAGCTGTTGACGGCTGTGGCCCTTGTTGGTGGCGCCGGATGGACTTACACAACGCAAGAAGCGTGGTCCCGAGGGCTGTTCATCAAGGCTGCCGCAGGAATATGGTTTGCGGAGCTGTTTCTATACGCCATCTACGAGCTGTTTGTGTATCCAAACTTTTTCTCGCCAATAAGAAACGTGCCCACGGCCCCGGGAGGGCATTGGTTGTTGGGACATGGAAAGCAAATCATGGCCTCCAAGCCCGGTGCGCCAATCAGAGAATGGTAGGTTCTGATCTTCTGATCTTGTATAAAGTGTACCCCTGTTGCTGAATGCTTGGCATGGATGGCTAACTGAGCTTGGCTTGTTTGGGGGCGTTGCAGGGTGACGACTGTTCCCAACGAGGGACTTATACGGTACTACTGGTTCTTCAATACGGAGCGTCTGATTGTCACCTCCCCCAAAGCCCTGGGCGAGGTGCTCGTCACAAACAACTACGCCTTCAGGAAGCCCGAGAATGTGAGGTCGTTGCTCGGCCGCCTCCTGGGCTATGGATTGCTTCTCGCAGAGGGAGACGAGCACAGGCACCAGCGGCGCAACCTGATGCCCGCCTTTGCGTTCCGCCACATCAAGGAGCTGTACCCTCTCTTTTGGGACAAGGCGCGAGAGTCTGTCCAGGCCATGATGAAGGAATGCGGCCAAGAGGGACAGACGGACATGGAGGTCAGCGAGTGGGCGTCGAGGGTGACGCTCGACATCATCGGCGTTGCTGGCCTGGGCAAGGACTTTAACGCGATCCAGGACGAGAACAGCGACCTTGTGCAGACGTATGGCTATCTGTTCAAGCCAAGGCCGCCGGCCAAGTTTCTGATCATGCTGGCCACTCTCGTGCCGTCTTGGCTGATCTACCGGCTTCCGTTGAAGCGCAACCGAGACGTCAACGACGCTGCCAGGAAGATTAGAGCCATGTGTCGGGACGTCATTCGGGAGAAGAAGGAGAAGATGATTGCAAACAAGGAGCGTACAGACGTGGACATTCTCTCTGTCGCGCTGGAGAGCGGCCAGTTCTCGGACGAAAACCTGGTCGACCAGCTCATGACGTTTCTGGCCGCCGGCCACGAGACGACGGCGACGGCGCTGACCTGGGCCATCTACTTCCTCTGCTGCCACCCCGAGATGCAGACGCGGCTGCGCGCCGAGGTCCGCGAGAGGCTGCCCTCGACCGACGACGCCGGCGCCAAGCTCGCGAGCCAGGACATTGACCGCATGCCGTACCTCCACGCCGTGTGCAGCGAGGTGCTGCGCTTCTTCAGCCCCGTGCCCGTCACCATCCGCGAGGCCTCGTACAACACCACGATCCAAGGCGTGCCCGTGCGCGAGGGCACCCGCATCGTGCTGGCCCCAACCGCCGTCAACGTGGACCCCAAGCTCTGGGGCGCCGACGCCCTCGAGTTCAACCCGGAGCGCTGGATCTCCAAGAACAAGGACTCGGAGGAGAGCAACAGGCGCGCGGCGAGCGGCGGCGCGGACAGCAACTACTCCTTCATGACGTTTCTGCACGGGCCGCGGAGCTGCATCGGCCTGACGTTTGCGACGGGCGAGTTTGCGTGTCTGCTGGCGGCGTGGATTGGGCGCTTCGAGTTTGAGCTGGTGAATAAGGAGGAGATGGACATGGAGAAGATGGACATCAAGGGCAATGTGACGGCGAGGCCGGTCAAGGGGCTGCATGTGAAGGCGAGGGCGGTGCCGGGATACTGAGTGGGTGATGCGAGAAGCTGGAGCAGGTGGGCTTGAGATTTATATACAAAAGGCTTCTTTATTGAGAGTTTGATTTATTTAATAGGCGGAGCTTTTGCTTTTATCTTTTTCCAAAAAAGCTTTTGTAATAGTAGTGCAGTGTGTATCAGGGAAGAGTTGACGCCTTCGTATCTCAGCATGGTTATGTTCAAGGTTGCGTAAGGTGGCATTTATGGCTGGTGATGTTATCAAGGCCAGCGTTGTTGTAAATGCCAACAGCCTCTGCTGCTGTGTCGCCGTCAGTTGCCGCTTCCACGTTCGAGCACAAGATGCGGCTGTTACGCTAGTCGTAAGCGTAGAGAATCCCCTTCCTGTACGCTCTGAAATTAATGCTCCCGCAACACCGTTTTGCGTAGCTGTGTATGTAGAGAGAGAGCCTTGCTTGGGGGCATGAAGGAAGGAGTTGCGGCTTGCTGCCCGTGAACTTTGACACGATGGCGGCACCCCTTGCTGAATGTTTGTTCTTTTGTGCTGATAATTATGGGCAATAGATTGGCGGTCCGGCAGAATAAGTTGCGTGCGTAGAGTGCGTTTTAGAGCCAGGAGCTCGAGGATCTTCGACACCACGTTCTATCCAAAGGCGCTAGATTACAAGACCTTGTAGTCCAGCGTCTACCAACGTAGGACACAACCACTATATCTTTATCCCACTTCCCTTGCACATCCCAGGACACTGGCCCTCTGCCATGAACACTTTAGAGAAATTCCACGGGTCTTCACATCGCCAGGGAGCTTATTTTCGTCCCTTTTAGGTCGTAGTCCCCGTACCACAAACCCTTCAAACAGCTGACCATAATTATCAGCGGTGTCTTCCAGGTCAATTGAGCACTTCCTTTGGATCAACCCAAAGGGTGACATTATAACTTTAAAGCTGCTCATCAGGGGTGTGCCCGTGGCCTAGAGAAGGCGGTCCTGTTTCTTCAACAACCCAAGCGTGTTGTTGAAGATTCCGTCCTCGCGGCGGGCCATTTGTGCTTCATCAACCATCGGATGGAACCCAGCCTCTTGCGGGTTTTGTATTGGACGAGATTCCCGTCGAGCTGAATCTGGTCGTCCTTTGTCAGGAAATGCGGTCGCTTCCCTTGCGAAAGCTTTGTAACCCTCTTCGAGTCATCCAGCCGCTTCCTCATGCCACAGCGCGGCATCTCAGCTGGGGTCATCCAGTCGTCATCGGACTCTACATCGTCGGACTCTTCGGAGCTCCATCATCACCCTTCTGACGCTTGGCGGCGTTTCCCTCGTCTCTTCGTTCAAGGATTACAAAATTTTGCTCCGTCTTAGTGACCTCTCGGGCATGAAGGGTTGAGTAGGTTGTAACAACAACTGTCCGAGCACTCTGTAGTGTGTTCAGTATTACTCCTCAGAAATCAGATCGTAAAAGATGTCGGCTAAGCCATACGCGTCAGATTCATGCCGGACTTGCAGCCGTCGATAGGCCTCGACGCAGGCCCAACGCAACTGATGGCAGGCAAGCCACATGTCGGCGTCCTCGCTGAAGCCGGAATTTTTATCTTAGACGCCGACTAGAGATATTCCAGTGTCGGGTGAAGACCCAATGGTGAGAAAACGGGCGCATCTTCCATCGGTCCGAACATCGAACCCCTAGATCGCGAGTCGGACTTTGGTGGGTAGTCGAGGGAAAGGCGTAAACTCCGTTGTAATCCAAAACCACCCTGAATACTTTATTAGCGATGAAAGAGCTGAGAGCCGTCGTTTTATCATGTGGACGACTTACTCAAAAGGAGTGAGGAAGAAGTCTAAAAGAGCAAAAGCGAAATGAATGAGGGCATCTGATAACCTCGATTTGACGTGACGTATTATTCACAGCAATAAACTGATTGTGTTATTGGCAAGAGCTTGAGTGAAATAAACCACTGATTTAAGACGGCAGAATGCATAGCGTTATAAACTTCTACTGCTTCTGCTGCTTTTATTAATACCACCGCTTTAATCCTGCTGCTGCTGCTGCTGCTGCTGGTTTTAAATGTATATATTTAGCAGCTGTGTAAATGTTTGTTAACATGTGTATCAGCTGCCTTGTTGCACTACAGCTGGGGTGTTGGATACATGTAACTTCTCCCGTTCTTCAGCACGGCGGCGAGTCTTGGCCTAGATGGATGCAGCGTCCGATCAAGGTTCTCTTGGTAAAGGAGTAAATCATTGCATCCCTTAGGGCTAGGTAGGAGGGCGATGCATACATGTTCATTGCTATAGTCTTATTAACTACATGTATGCTGTTATGCCTATGTCCAAATTCACATACTACACCCAAATTCACATACACCCGCCTAGGTCCACATTTCGCTAGACCTCGCCAAATAGTAACACCCGAGTCAGTGTGGGAGCACTGCAGGGAGCACTTCTTTTCTGTCTTTGCTCTTCCTTGCTTTGTATGTAGGTGAGGGGCTTTGTATAGCTCGTCTATGGGAGACATTGTCTCACTATGGGCATAATGGATGTGAGGGGAAGAAGAGAGAGCTGGCTAAAACGAGGCATATGACAAGAAATACCCCCGTGTAAGTCACTCTACAAAGCGGAGAGCGCTACGTCAAATGGTTAAATATGATGGCGCACGTTTACCGGCAATGCATACGTCTGTTGCGAGTTATAGAAAGCTTACCCATCCGTCTCTATTGACTGGCAGATCATATTGAATCTGGGCCAACAATGCAGGGTAGGTTCCGAGGTTCTGGTGATGCCTCATCCGGGTAGCTGTTTTAGCGCTGCATCGCTTTTTTTGTCCGCCGTCAAGGAGGTCCCGATATGGCGAGACACAGCACCGCAGTGCCAACTGGCAGAAAAGCGGGGCTGCAGAATCAACCCAAAAACACACGTAGTGGCGGTCAGGTCTCGGATTTGCGAAGCATTATTGGCGGCTTTGCTCTTCTTTGGTCAGACACGGTGAGACATTTGCACCTGTAACGCCCGAGGCTGTGGGCTATGGGCTACGGGGGGCCAGCACAGAGCTTACCTGATACGAGCAGCACTCCACCACGCAAATCAAGGGACTTTGCCGAATTGATACAGAGCCTCAGCAGCATTAACACGCTTAATATGAGCGACCCCACTGCGCTATGCACGTACCACAGCAGGAAGCACAAGCATGTGCAAGCTTGTCCCGTTTTCTGCAGCAGAAGAGAGAAGAAGCTGTCGATTACTATTTGCCTTCATCTTCTTTTTTTCTCTTGGGGACTGCAGAGAACGCAAGTGCGAGAACGGCAAGACTGCAACGCCTAGAGCTTAAGGCGCCTAAACACCAAACGCCCAAGCTTAGGCGGCTACCCCAGCTCGCCCGCTCGCTCGCGTCCTGCCGAGCTACAGCCTCTTTTCCAGATCTCGATACCATCGCCAAACCTGCCCCCTTTTTTCTGTCTGGCCGAGCTCTTGTGATCGCTCCCTGGTCCGACTTTGCCAGCTGAACCACCGCTAAGGTCCAACGCCGCGACGCTTGATTGGCCCGACCGCCAGCCACAGCAACCCGGCCGGCCACTGCTCCAGGCCCTCCCTAGCGCTTTGGTTGCATCTTGTCGCTGTTCTGCCTCTTCTTGAAGCTGTCGCCCCAGCCACCGGTTGTCCACGGAGCGGGTCGGGTCGACTGGGGTGAGGTTTGGCGTCAAGCCTAGTTCCATCAGCTCGTCTTCCCTTTGGAACCAAAACAAAAAAACAAGCCGGGCGGTGGTTTGATTGACCTTTTGCTTTCCTTCACAGCTAGGGAACGGTAAAGAACAACAGCATCCCCGTTACTGGCAGAGCGACCAGACGCCCAATCAGCTGGTCTCACGATGCCTCATCCCCGCCGCCGGAGCCTGGAAAGCTCCAGGAGGCGGAGGCGCGAGAAGCGACAATCGCGCGAGGATCCTGCCGCCAGCATGTACTCCCCTACGAACATCACGGCCCAGCAGATGCCGGGCAGCTACAGCGCCGACAGCCCACAGCAGCAGCAGCAGCCGTATCAACCACCACCGCAACAACAGCACCAGCCGCCATATCAGCCATCACCACCGTCGCAGCAACAGCCATATTCGCCGCAGCAATACCCGCCGCAGCAATACGAGCAACACCAGCAGTACCAGCAGAAATACCAGGAGTCGTTTCCGCAGCCGACGTCGCTGCCAATGCCGCAGCAGGCAATAACACCGCACGATGCTCTCCAGCCCCGATCCAGGGCCTCGTCCGGCTCTTTATCCTCGTCCAACTCTTCCTCATCCTCATACCTGGAGATCTCGCGACAGTATCCGAGCGGCCGGTATGGAGGCTTCTTCAGCGCTTTTATGAAGGCGCCGTCAGAGCGTCGGCGTCGGCGGCGCAGGGGAAGCGGCACTAAGAAGCGCCGCGGCGTTTTCTTTGGTGGCGGAAGCAACTCGTCTCATTCATCCATCAACTCAGACTTGGCCTATGGAACGGGCTTTGTGAAGAAGGACAAGGATAAGTCTACGCGCTACAGCAGCTCTGTTGCCGGCTCTACTGTATCCGGCGCGCAGCCGCAGCAACATCCGGGCGCAATATCCGGCAGGCGTTCCCCTAAGCGCCTCAATGAGAAGAAGCGTGATAAGACGGACGAGGAGATTCTCGCCATTGGCCGCCAACTCTCGGATCTGGCACGGCAGTCCAACGAGGAGGACTTGCGTGCTGCTGGCAAAATCCGGCCTTCTGGACTGGCATCTGCCGCCGCTGCCATCACTGCACTACGAAAGAGCAGAAGAGACGGTAAAAAGCGAGGACTTGGCAACTCTAAGAAGCATCGTGACTCGTCTTCTGATGAAACAGACTGGGAATCGGCATCTGACGACGATGGCGATTCCTCCGAGAGCTCATCCAGTGACGAGAGCGCTTTGCATCTGGCCTACGGCGGCAACGAGTCGTCGCGTTCCAATGTTGCCTTGGCTGGAGCCGCGGCAGTGGTTGCCGGGGCGGTTGCTGCTTCTGCCGCCGAGTCATATCCGACAGCTCACCGTCCGACAGCCCACCGCAGGAAGAGTTCCGTTGTGGATCCAAGGCTCTTTGGACCGGTCAACTCATTACGTGGATTAGTGCACACTCCCTGTGGGTTTGGAGACGAACAGCATCCAGCGCCATCCTCTACGGGCTCAGGGCGACATGGTCTCCATCGTTATGATAATGACCGTCCACCTACCGGCGAATCGCAGGCCGATTCCGCTCATCGCCCGGGATTTGTGCCCCTCGAGCAGCCAATTCCCATGGTGCCTGTCTCAAACAAGGTCTTTGAAGCCGGCAGCCGAGATTCTCGAAACAGCTATCGCCGCCAGCGCTCTAATGAAGAGAGCCTTGATCCCACACTCGGCGGCGGCGTCGCAGCAGCCGCAGCCGCCGCAGCAGCTCGCATGGCAGATCGAAGGGGTCCCTGGACGGAAGACCGCATTTATCGCGATGATGTGAAACGTACCCGCCCAGACGCCGATGAAGACTATTTCCAGCGAGACCAGGCGCCGTTTGAAGAGCTAGAGCGTCGGAGAGAGAATCCAGAGGTGTATTACAACCGTCGAAACGATAATGTAGATTCTCCTCGATCCGAGGCCACTCGCCAAGTGCCTGATTACTTTAATAAAGATGCGCCTGGCGTGTCCAAGGAAAGTAGATCCTGGATGGAGCTTCATCCACAAGAGCGTAAGGAGACTCTAAAGTATCAAACGACACACGACGTCCACATGGAGAGGCGTGAAGCGGAAATACGAGACGCACAGAGACAACAAGAGCGGGAGCAGCAGCAGTCTACTCGTACGACAAAGGCAGGTGATGGAAACATTGAGAGGCCAACCCAGCCTGCTTCAAACTCCGATATTGACCCTTTCAAATACCAGGTTGCCGATGATGCTTTCAACACCCCCCAGTTCAACACTCCCCGCCGGCCTCTAACACCCCAGGTTGTGACCGTTGAGCGTGTACCCAATTTCACCGAATCTTCTCAACCTCCGTCTTCAGGGCGACAGCAAACGCGTCCAGATATCAGACTTAGCCGAAAGGATACATATGATATCCAAATGGCAGAAGAAGAGAGAAGGCGAGGAAACGATTCGGGATCTCGGCATAGAGACCCTCGAGATGACCACGGATACGAAGAAGAGGAAAGAGAAGCTCGGTCCATCCTAGACGAAGCCAAACGTTCGACGATTCCAGTCGCTGCCGTCGCAGTCGCATCCGCCATTGCTGTTGAAGAAGAGCGGTCGCGAGAGCGCAGACGCCGCGATTACTCTGATGATGGCTCTCGTGACCGAAGCCGACCCCATAAGGATGTCGTCCAGGAGGAAGCTGACAAATACTATCGCGAATCTGTAATTGCTCGAAAGATTGCTTCTGATGAGATCCGGTCTCAAAGCAAATCTCCAGATGGGTCCGTGGTGGACAAATGGGATACACCGCCTGTTGAAGAGCACATCACCATTGTCACGCCACCCAATATGGAAGGCAAAGAGCATGAGGATGATGACCCTTACGGCGCCCCTAATGCCGATGTCAAAATCGACAACGAAATTTTCCCCTACGAGACCGACAAATTTAGAGCTACCAGGGGCGTCGATGCTCCGAGATTCAGGTCCAAGGATCCCTCATGCGAGCGTGAACGGCCCCTGTTGAACATTGTTCGTCCTACTCCGGTTCCTAGCCCCGATTCTACGGCAGCGGCTCGTCGAGGACCAGAGCAGCCGACGGAAGTTCCTGCATCTCGAGATATACATGAAGAAGAATCACTGGCTGACTCGTCAGAAGATGAAGAGGCCGAGCCAAAAGGCGAGGCGACTCAATCGTCACCGACTGGCAAGTCTGTCTCTTGGGGTCAAAACGAAATCAATCGCTTCGTGGTCGAATCTCCTGAGGCTCGCAGCCGTGCCGAATCCCCAAACGAGCTGGCTGAGGCGGAGGAAAAACCCAGGCCCCGTCTCAGCAAGTCTAGCAGATGGGGCAAGATCGCCGCCGTGATCGCCGCCGGCACTGCCGAACCGATCTCCGAGCTTGATCGAAACACTGAGCCGAGCAGTCGCGATCTTCCTACCGATGGCGATGCATCGTCTGCTCCGGGCTCTAAAATACCTGATCCTGAGCCGGAGCAGATGCCTGGGAGTTTCGATGACGAGGAGTTTGCTGCTACTGTAGCGGCTGGCCTAGAGAAGACTGGGTTTAATCCTAATATCGTAATTGACGACCCGGCCTTTCGCCGCCGAAACCCTCGCCCTGAAACAAATGAGACACCCGCACCTCCCAATGATACCCAAAGAGATGAGCAGAGAGCAAGAGAGGAGATAGAGGTCGAGGGGGATCTCTCATTGACTGATACGGAAGATGAGCATGATGAGAAGACCCAGAAGCAGAAGAAGGTGAATGCGCTGGAAAAATATCTTGAAATGAGGCAGTCTGGCGAAATCAAGCCCCCTTCTCAGCTGCAGGAATCGGCCCAGCTACCAACCGTGGAAGAGCGACCAGTCACACCTCCTCAAAAGAGCAACAGCGAGCAGCGAAAGGCACTTGAGGCGTTTCTCCAAAAGAGACAATCAGGAGAGATTAAGCCACCGCGGGAAGTCCTAGAAGCCAGGGAGTCGCGCGATTTGGAGCCAACCTCCGAGACAAAGACTGGACCAGTACATGGACCCGAACTCGAACCCGAACGACCACCGATCAGGAAACTTGAACCTGAGGCTTTGCGCGAACTAGAAGAGAATGCCTCCGACTTTGAACCCCCCACCCAGTCAAAGAAGAAAAAAAAGAAGAAGAGACGAGATCCTGATGACGAAAATTCCAAGTTGTCCATTCCTGGAGACGAGGCTACAGAGATCTCCAGGATTTCAGTACCTGGTGACGAAGCTACCGTCTTTAGCGTTGAGGATTGGGAAGATTGGGATAGTTCTCCTGGGGCGTCCACACGAAGGTCGTTATTGGCTGGATCAGAGATGTCGACTTCCAGCAGAAGGAGCACTCGACTAAGGCGCCCGCGTAGCTCTACTTTTGACCTCCCCGAAACCAACGGCAGTGAGCATCCAGGGGATGATCGTGTAGATGACCGTGGCGTGAGCTCCGTTGTCTCGGAGCCTCACGACGAAGAAAGGAAGCCGAGAAGCCGGGAGAGCAAATCTCTACGACATAATGATAATAGCGAGAAACATGTTTCATCGCGTAAATCCCGCAAAGTCTCTGGGAACAAGAAACCCGGCCTTTTCTCAGGCATCTTCAACAAACCTGGCGACAAAAACGGCCGAACCAAGGTCGTTGATGAGAAGCGAGACTCTTTTTTTGAGCAAGCCGACACTCTAGGCGCGGGTGTCGGCTCAGCGAGCCTTGCTGCAGCTGCAGCAATGGCCTTGAACCGCTCAAATGCCGCCGATGTCTCCTCGGAACCGGAGAACATCTCGCGAGAACTCTCTGGCTCGAACCAAGAGTTTAACGACCATTACCCCGTGATTGCTCCCAGGGCAATCGCAATTGACCCTCAGTACAGAGATTTGCTTCCTCTGCCCCCAAGCGAACCGGGAAGCCCCGTGGAGAGTGACTTTGGTGGGCTACCCGGCCTGCCTGACAGTCGCCCTGCATCGCCGATAGAAGACCGAGACCGAAGATTCGACACGATTCATCGCCGGCAGCGAAGCAACCAAGATCTAGCAGCAAGTGCCCGCAACCGATCGTACAGCAACACCGCGGTGCCCCTCGCAGCACTTCTCAGGGGCATCGGATCCGGGCCCCCCAGCCCTGTTGCCAACAAGCCTCCCCGTACCCCTCCCCGTCCAACTTCTTGGGACAGCACCAAGGAGTTTATGCCTCTGATGCTTCTTGAGCATTCGCGACGAGGATCCCTTGACAGAAGCGTGAAAAGCGAGGAGCTGCCGCCACTGCCCCCTAGCGAAGTGACAAGTGAAGCCGAGGGTGGAGATATCGAAGATTTCCGAACCCCAATGCCATACCCGGACGACGATTTCCGGCTTCGGCTCCAGACTGAAGGTCTTCCTGCCGAGAGAGCTGTTGCATCTGGAGAATCCGAAGGATCCACACCAAAAGCCGATCTGACGTATGAGCTGCCCGCTCGACCTACTGACAACGATAGGGGATTCACCGACGACTACGAAACTGCTCCCATCAAATCGACGTCTTCGTCGGGCCAATCGGCTAGGACAGTGGACGCCCAGGCCATACCGAGCCCTACAACTCCTACACGTCGACGCTCACCCCAAAAGGATGCCTATCTACGCCCCGACGAATTGACATCAGCAGACGCCTCCGATGACTTTGAGACCGCACGCACCTCTCCTGCTGACATGCACGACGAGGATCTATATGAACCGGAGCTGCCACCCATTGAGCCATCGATGCTCGGCGCTATCCCTGAATTTTCAAGACCCGCAAAATTTTTTGAGGACAAGGTACCGGACCATTCAGCACTGGCAACTATGGATAGGGTGATTGAGACTTTGCCTAGCAATGAGAGCGTCCCAGAGGACCAGACCCGCCAGGGGAGCCGCAACTATCCGGACCTGCAATCAGAAGCGGCCGAGGAGTCATCAGACAAGGGTAAGAAGTCTTTTTCATCAGATGAGCGCAGCCTATCTATGCAGCCTTCAGCCGAGGAAATGGCGGCTGCATTCGTCGAAATTCCAGATATAAGTTTCAACAAAGGCTTTGGTCCGGATGTCAAATATATTCCATCAACCGAGTCTCTTTCAAAAGATTCTACCGAAGAGAAGGCACTGGCACCAGAGATTATCCCAAAGCCCGTTACCGTTGAAGATGAATCAGAGCCCGAAAATTATACTCTTGAGCCAGAATTCGAATCAATTGCTCAAGAGATTCCTGTTTTTAAGCCGGCCGACGAGGATGTTGAAGTACCATACACTGAGTCTGTCGATATTATACCCGTGTCTGATGAGCTCCTGTCTAATACAATTGCCGAATCAACTCAACGATCGCAGCCGGAGGAAGTTGAGGAAATCATTGTCGGTACTATCCCCAAGGCGGCGCCTCATTCGGTCCCTGAGGCCCCTGTGCAAGAATATCCAAAGAATCCCGATGTATCTACGGTTATTGAAGATTCAGATGAATCAGAGGAAGAGGAGGAGTCAGATGAAGAAGAAGATTCTGACGATTCTGAAGACTCTGAAGACTCCGACGAAGAGGAGGACGAAGAAAATGGACATGTGGTGGTCGCGAAACGCTTTGATGAAGATGGTAATGCAATTCGCGATATGACGGCATCTATCGATTCTCTCGGAGCTGCATCTGTGGTTTCATCGGGCTCTAAGAAAAAAAATAAGAAGAAGAACAAGAAAAAGAAGAAGAAGAAGAGAAAGAGGAAGAAGAAGAGCAAGACAGCAGCCGCAGCCGCAGCCGCCGCCACCGCAGCAGCCCTGGCAGCAGCAGAGGCTTCCACCGAGACAAACGCTCAGCCTGTTACTGAATCTACTGAGCCTTCAATCGCACCAGCCGTGGACCCTATCGCCGAGACCGCTCCCAGTGACCTTCGCAACCCCCCTACCGAACTTGAGAGGAGCGAGGTTGAGCCTGCCATCGGGCCTTCAATCGAGCCTACACCTGCTGATGCAATGGAAGTGACTGAAGAGACACCTCTTGACGTTACCAAGGACTTTGTTGCCTCTGAGCCAGTGACTGAGGCTCCGGAACAGACCTCACGGGAGATTGCAGAAGAATCCATAATTGAGAAGGTGGAAGAAGCCGCTGCAACCGCTGAGCCCGAAACTACCACTTTGGCGGAAACCGAGGAGCGACGAGATATCCCATCGGGTGCCATCGAGAATGCCAGCGAGGAAGCGGATGAGCTTGTCAAGTGGGCCGCTACTGATAGCGAGCCAATTCCGCATTCTGACGATCAAGGCGAAAGGGAGAGCTCTCTAGTTGAAGACAAGGCTACTGTTGTTGAAGAACTAGTTGAAACTCTCCTTCCCTCGCAAGAAGAAGCCTCAGTCCTCGATATAGAGTCTCAGCTAACTACTGAAGAGCCTGCCGGTGAATCTGCCGGACAAGAGCATCATGATGTTTCTGTTGAAGATCGAGATGCTCTTGTAGCCGATGTGGTGCTTCCAACCGAAGAAGAGACGCCAGTTGAACCCCCTGCTGTAGTCGAAGAGCTCGTCGCCCCAGAGACTGAAGACTCACATACTTCCCACGCTGATGAGCTAGCATCAATTCCACAAGACGCATCTCCTGCCGGTGATCGTGAATGGGCTGGAGATGAAGCCAAGGGGCAAGATTCTGATGAGGCAACCGCCGATCAGGAGCTTGAACAAACATCGCCAATGCCGTTTGAATTACCTACAATTATGGAAGAGCCTCTCGAGGACGCAAATGCTACGGAAAGCGATGACTTTGAGCAAACAGAGCAAGATGCTTCGACTTACAGTGATCAATTGTCCCCTATACTAGAGGAGACCATGGAAGATCTATTGGAAGAGTCAGCTCCTGTAGAGATATCTGAACCAGTGAGCCTGGGAGAAGATGTCGAGTCAAAGCCAGAGCCTGAGGAAGCGATCTATGAGACTGATCAAACTGAGCATCGACTAGACACTCAGAATGCTGGAGAGACTGAAGCATTAGAGCCCCCCTCTGAACAGTCTGAGGCTACAACCGCAATTGAAGATGTCGTCTCCGCAGAGCCAAAGATGGATGAGACTTCGTCACGATCCATTGATGAGTTAGCGGAGACAGTGGGCGAAAAAGATACTGATCGACCTCCCCAGCTACCTTCCTTTGCCTCTGACATTTCTGAGCCATTGTTCACTCAAGGTGATGCTCCAACCGAGTATCCCACGCAGCAGTCTCCTGCTAGCTATGAGCCGACGCAGATGGATGAGAGTTTTGTAATTCCCGAGGAGTCTGCTCGACTGCCGACGGATGAGCAAACTGAATCAACTGAAGTTATAGAGGCGCCCCCTGTACTCGATACTGTCGACAAAGTCGGAACCGAGGCTGAGGAAAACCAGGGGCTCTCCGCTGATGTCACTGATGTCATTCCTCCTGTTGAAGAGGCCAAGGAGATTCACGAGCAAGAATTCACAGAGACCCCAGATCTTGGTCTTCCGGAGCCTGAGCTCAAGGATGCCGAATCACCAGCAGAGGAAGAGAAGAACGACGAGCAAACGCTTGAGCCAACAGAGCAAACACCTGTGCCTGAAGTTACGCCGGACGAATCTGTGGAATTACCATCTCTCGAAACTGATCATCAAACTACGGCTGATACTGTACCGGAGACGAGAGAAACCGCTTCAGCAGATGAGAGCCGGGAAGGAGAACAGCAGCCAGATACAGAAAAAGCCGTGCTTACCGACCCAGCTCCTGTCGCAGACTTGACTGAAGTAGCACCTGAGGAGAGCTCACAAGATAATGCGGCAGTTGAACAACCCGCTGGTCCTGGCTTGGAACTGGATGTAGTGCCTCAAGAAGACACAAACGAGCCAGGTTCTACGCTCCCTGAGGAGCTTGAAACCAAAGATGAAGATTCTATCCCCTCAAAAGAATCTGAGACTATACCACCTCAGGAACTCGACGAGAACGCAAATCCGGAACCAAAGCCAGACCAAGACGTCAATGACGATGGGTTGAAACTACCGGTGGACAACACTGACTTGGAGACTGAGAATACTGGAGATCAATCAAGAGAGGGTGATGTCGATGTTGCTAAATCTGATATTCCTTTAGAGACTGGACCTGTTGAGGACTCTCGATCAATGCACGAAGAGGAGCCTCAGCCAGAGGTGGAGGGCAACGATCATGGAAATGACGATGGACAAACGGAAGAGGAGAAAGCGAACAATTCCGAGCAATCTGTAGAAGTTCTTGACTCGACTAATACTTTAGACGCCGCAGAGGAGACCAGCCTTCCACAAGAATCTAATATGACATCTGACCTGGAACAACCTACACTGGAAGCTGAAATAGAAGCATCACCAATCACGTTACCAAACGTGGACGAGGAAATGGAACCGGAGCGCCTCACTCAAGATGCAGAATCTGAGCATCCCGATCTCGCTCAGGATGGTACTATTGCCCCTGTAAGCACAGTGCCAGAAACTGCTAGCGAAGATGTTGAGCGTGCTCCTGAAGCCAAGGATGCTTCTACGGAAGCCGGCGAGCTTCAGCCAGAAGAGTCGTTGGAGCCGCAAGAGGGCAAGCCACAGGTGGACGAACCGATGACTGAGCCTACAAGTGACGGTCAGGAAAGGAGTGTGGCTGAAAACCTAAGCCAAATCGAGACCCCGGCAGAGGTTGTCAGGGATGACACGGTCGACACCACATTGACAGACTCAGGTCTCACCGCGAATACCAGCTACATTCCACTCTTGGATAAAGAGGAAGAGCCTCCCGGCAAGATACTTTCTCACCCTCTGGACATCTTTGAATCTGATATTCCCGACGCTCCTAACCCAATCAACGTAGCTGTGGAAGATGCGGAAGCGGAAGCGGCTGACAAGAATTTGATTGAGGAAAAGGAAAAGCCCTCGGAGGAGCAAATCCTCTCTCACCCTCTGGACATCTTCGAGTCTGATATTCACAACACTCCTAATCCGATTGACATAGCCGTGGATGATGCGGAAGCGGCTGAGAAGGGCTTGACTGAAGACAAACTCTTGGAGGAGCGAGCTGTGACTGAGGATGAACCCAAGTCTGAAGACCTCCAGCCGGAATCAGTACAAACCGAAGAATGTCAGCCTGAGTCTACATCCGAGGTTCAACCTGAGCCTGTGGAAGAGCCCCAGCTGGAGGAACCCCATACCGAGATTTCTGATGAGAACAAGCACGAATCTGAGTCCAGAGAACTTCAAGAGGCTATTACCCAAGTGGATGAAGCTACGCAGGAAAACACCACTACAGAGGAGACTATCGTTTCGCAGAAAGATGAAGTTGAACCTGCTGCGGAGCTGGAGCAATTGCCGCCTGTTGAAACCATCAGTCAGCCAACTGAAGAACAGCCGCCTACCGAGCGGGCCAAACTGCCTGAATTTACTTTCCCAGCCAAGCCTGCAGAAGGAGTTTCTAGGAAACTTACAGAAGATTCCATTGACCCTCTCGACCCTGTACCTCAACGGCCTTCTTCCTCATACAGACACGAAGTACCGCCTCGTAAAAGCACGTTCCTCCTGGCCCCACCTGAGCCTGATTACGGAGAGACATCAGCAAGTGAATATGGGGACAGCGATGATGACTCCGACTCCGACAACGATACTTCAACGATAATCTCTGATACTGCATCACTACGAGGGTCGATAAGACGGTCTAGACATCCGAGGTTTAGTGAGTCTACGTCAAGCCTTACTGGCTTCGAGGTAACGGCGGTTCCTCACGCAGAACAACATGCCCACCGGGCTATTCGGTCGAAAAAGAAAAAGGGAAAGAAGAAGAAGCAGAAGCACAAGCACAAGCGTAAGAAGTCGACAGCAGGGAGCGAGCCATCATCTTCGCACAACAGTCTGGGCGAGCCAGCGGGACAGGGTGATGGTGCCAACAACAATAATCCTCCCCCACCACACCCTGAGAGAGAAGCACCTCCACCCCCTCCTCAAAGAGAAGCGCCCCTTCCTCCCGGCGAGATTAGTGTTTCAGAACCAACCACTGCTCTACCTGAAGCCTTAGAGAAGGTGGAGTCTGAGCCCCGGGAGTTTGTGGGATCTGATTCAGCCGAGAACAAGTCTTCTGAATCTGCCAAGAACGGCGATGCATCTCTAACCCCCATTCCTGAGGAGGTTGTGGCGGAAGAACCTGCGAAGGCCGATTCCGGGCCAGCGAACGAGCCAGAGCCAAGAAATCGAGATGTACCCTTAACAGCTGCTCCTGCTGCCCCTTTAGAGGATGATTCGGAAAATCCTTGGGATTTGTTTACAAATAAATGGGAGAAGCACGGATCTGCTACGCAATCGCAAGAAGAGCTTCCAGAGGGCCAGATAATCAAAGATGCGGCTTTCGTTGACGAGCCTTCAGCTATCTCTACGCCTCAGCGAAGGAACAGCCAAACAGAGCAGCAGATCAGCCCAGGTAATCTTGACAATGGCCCCGAGCCTTCTTCAGAAGAGCATGGCGACAAGCAAGATCCCTCCGTTTCTAGCCCCAGATCATCAACGGAGAGGGGTATCCGGCCAAGTTCAGCATCTAGTCAGGGAAGCGAGAGGTCCAATCGGCCTTGGTTCACAGGCATCAGTGGAAGCGTCTCTCTCATGGCTGAACGATTTGGTGGTGCCAAGAAACCAACAAGGGAGAGAGATAAAGACCCTATACCTCCAGACAGAGATCCTATACCCTCAGACAAAGAAGACCCTAAAGACCAGTCTTTTTTAGGGAATCCAGCTCCTCGGAAAAGCGGTGACGAGAGGAGCTGGCAAATAAATCAAGTACAGACGATTGACGATTTCTTGGAAAGTGGCAACGGCCCCACGACTCCTAACAAGCGTAAGAAGCGCCAGTCTCAACCTATCAGGCCTAGCACACCAAAGCGAAGCGAAAGTATTGCAGAAGTCACAAGTCCAGAGTTTAAAGTTGGAAAGAAGTTGCGCAGAAGAGATGGATTTAGAGGAGAGCGTGTCGGGAGTGCAGAAATAGAGGAAGCAACAGAGCTCCTGGAATCACTTGGGCCCTTTGAGCTGCTTCGACGGAGTTCCCAAGTGGGGGATCCTATTGGTGGACTTCTCCGGGAGGCGAACGCGTCGGAAATATCAGTGCTTCCCCCAATGGAACTATCTGAATTCTCTGACTACGAAACATCTGATTATAGGCTGTCGCCCCCGCGAACTTTGCCTTCAGTTGAAGAGTTGCCAGAGCCAGAGGCGGAAGCGGAAGCGACAGCGTCGGAAGTTGGCTTCTACAGAGACAGTGGCTTCTCAGAAAGCCTCCCAAGCCGATCAAGGAGACACAGCACAAGCACAGTACCCATTGGAGACGATGAAGAGAAGATGCGCGACAGCGGAGTTGACAGTGACTGGATAGAAGCAGCCATAGCAAAGCTCAAGACTCCCGAGCCCGTAAACAGGGCACCAGATCGACCACTCAAGAGGCGCCTACGACGGTCTACGCTGGGAGGTCAGAGACTGGGAGAGACGTCGCTACGGGATGCGGCTCACGACCCGGAGAAGAAGACTATACCGGGAACAAGGGAAAGAGTGTTGACAGGAACAGGAACACGACCGGAGACTCCGACAGGGAGATCCAGTCCTACGAGGAAAGGCTACGGAGCCATCGCCGGAATGGGCATCGCACCACGACGACTGTCGACAATCTCACCAATACCGTCGCTGTCGGATCGATCCGACACGCCCCCGATGCTGAGACGAGCCGCGACCTCTTTCAGCTTCTCACCGACGGCAGGCCCATTGACAGGCCCATTGACAGGCCCCTCACCACCGGTGGCGGGCCCGCTGCGAAGCCTACGACGAGCCGTCAGCGCCCAGATTGCGCCGGGCCTGCAGCGCCCAGAGTCGCCGGCGCTCAAGGCCCTCTCGACGGAGCCGCAGCCACGCAGCGTCTCGGACAGCCAGATCCCGTCCGCCACGCGACACCAGCCAGACCCAGCGCGGGCCGACCCCAGCAATGGCCCAGCGCCACAGTCGCCACAGTCCCCGCCCAACAGCGCCGCGGTGCGCCAGCGGACCCCTGAACGGCGCAAACTCTCGCTCCAGGCCGACGCCGTCCGCGGCAGCACAGTGCGATCGTCGTCCATCCCGACGCCGGGGCTGCGGCGGGCAGACAAGCGCGGCGGCGACCTGCGAGCGCTGCGCCAGCAAAACTCCAGCAATTCGCTTGCGCCGTCCGAGGCGCCCGTGGCCAACGAGGGCCGCGTGCGAGCCAAGGACAAGACCGATGTATTTGTGAGTGCAACCAGCTCTTCCTGACGCCCGTCACATGATTTGTGCCCGCAGATGACCCGACCCACCGCCGCCTGCATGGCCCCGTCTGGGCCGCGTTTCTGCTGTTTTTTTTCTCAGCTCCCAGCCACTCGGCTTCACCGCCCAACCTCGTGATTTTTCCACCCCCCCAGCCAATGCTCCGCCCGGCCCTGCGAAGCTCTGCATTCCTCAGCATCTGGGCTTTTCTCTGATTGCCTGCCTGTCTGCCGTTGCCGAAGTGCTTGCATGTCGAGTCGTGGTCATTTGCGGGCTGCCTGACTTGATTCCTTGTACTGCTTATTTTGCCGGGCCTTTGTTTCTTTGTTGTCATTGCCATTGTCATTGTCCCTTGTCCGCGTCGCTTCAGCTCGTCGGCGTCGCTTTACCGTTTCTAATATTGGGCTTTCTTTCTAGGATGGGTTGGGCGAGGGCCAATTTGGCTCGCCACGATCTCCCACAAGGCCGCACAGCATGCGTCGACGCCAGAGTATGCAAGTCCTCGAGCTCGAGGCCAGGGTCGAGCAGCTCATAGCAGAGAACCGTCTGCTCTCCGACGCCCGCCACAGCTCCGAACAGCACCTAAGCCACCGTGTTGTCACCGCTCTTTCCGACCGGGACACGCAGATTGAGGCTCTCAACCAGAGACTCAAGTTCCTCAAGGGCGAGGTATCTCGCCTGACCGAGGTCAATGAAGGCCTCACCAGCGCCAACGCCGAGCTGGCCAACAAGGACAACAGCCGCTATGCAGATCTACAGGTCTACGCCGACCGTGATGGCAACGAAGCCGCCCTCATGCAGGCTCTGCACGAGAAGGATGCACAGATTGCCGACCTGACGACCAAGCTGGATGCTGCCAAAGAGAGGATCCGCGAGCTGCAGCGCCAGATTCTCGAATCCAAGGCTGCCGACGTGCAGTTCCTCAACATCAAAGACGAAGACTACTTTGATCATCGCTGCCAACAACTATGTTCCCACGTTCAGCAATGGGTTCTTCGCTTCTCCAAATTCTCAGATATGCGAGCCTGTCGCCTGACCAATGAGATCAACGATGAGAAGATCATCGACCGGCTTGACAATGCCGTACTAGATGGCTCTGATGTCGACAGATATCTCAATGACAGAGTCAGGCGGCGTGACATCTTCATGTCCATGACCATGAACATGATCTGGGAGTTTGTCTTTACTCGGTACCTGTTCGGAATGGACCGAGAGCAGCGACAGAAACTCAAATCGCTGGAAAAGCTGCTGACCGAAGTTGGCCCAGCACAAGCCGTACGCCAATGGCGTGCTGTTACCCTTTCGTTGCTCTCCAAGCGTGACTCATTCAAGAGGCAACGAGACCTGGACACGGAGGCTGTCGTCCAGGCCATCTACCAGACCCTATGCAAGGTCCTCCCGCCGCCGTCCAATCTGGAGGGCCAGATCCAAGCCCAGCTGCGCAGGGTCATGCACGAGGCTGTCCACCTCTCAATCGAGATGCGGACACAAAAGGCCGAGTACATGATGCTGCCGCCCCTCCAGCCCGAATACGATGCAGACGGCGAGCTTGTACAAACCGTCCAATTTAACGCGTCCATGATGAGTGAGCGGAGTGGAACGTTGAAGCTCACCAACGAAGAGCTCGAGGCGCGCGGCGCCATTGTGCGTGTTGTCCTCTTCCCTCTCGTTGTCAAGAAGGGAGACGACGATGGCTCCAACGATGAGGAGATTGTAATTTGCCCTGCTCAGGTTCTGATTGCCCGCAGCAAGCTCACGCGCCAACCCACGCCATCAGACGGGGGGAGAACTTCTACGGGCACAGGCCGTCTGAGCGGCGGCACCAACTCGCCCGATACCAGACAGGCGAATGCAGCCGTGAATGCAGCCTAAGGAGGGATTTATGACTACACTATTTATGATGACCTTTTTCTTTTACTCTTTTTCTTTTTCTTTACATACAACTCATAAAGATTTTGAGAAAAAAGTTGAGCGATGGTGTTTTTATCCTTTTTCTTGTTCTTGTTTTGCATTGCGTACATATCTCTCTGTTATGACGGCTTTTTGGATTACGTCTCTTGGATTTTCTGTTTAGTGCAGTGATGAATTTTTTTGGTTTTATTTTCTTCTTTTCAATTTTCTACACCGGGCAAAATGCGGGAAAGCAAAGCAACCTGTTTAATACATGGTTTGATGATACGATACCTATTCATTGGAAATTTTCGTGCTGCGGCGTATCTTTTTTATTTACCTTTACCTTTTTTTTTCTATATCTTTTGGGTTCACAGATTATGAAACTTCTGTTGCTACAACTCAGAGCTTGTACTTAATCATTGGCTTTTTTTGCTCTTGCGAGAACGCGAGTGTGTGTTCATTTTTTATGCAATGTTGACATGAATTTTAATGCGTCTCTTGATAACTCTTTTTACGTCTTCTTTCGTTATATTCGTGTTTTTATTTACCTGCTTTGAATATGGCTAGGCCCTAGATTTATGACTGAATGAACTAGAAATCTCCACTGAGATGCATCATGAATCATGTCCAATCGTGAAGATGGTCTTAGTACGAAGAGGCCAATGCCATGTCAGCGTTTAATTGTCCTTGCTTGCTGCTACTGCTAGCATCCTGCAGGTCTGAAAGAATCGGCCTAGAGTGTAGTAGTACCAACCACTAGTATGCGCCAAGTCAAAGACTGTGTTGCATTTAGGCATTGATACACTCTCCCTCATCCACTATTGGGCATTTACCCATCTCATCTGTGCCCTGTCTCACTGTCCAGTCACTTTTCACTTTCAGAGGGTCATTTAACTCAATTTATTTATTGGTATAAACTATCTTCGCACACATCTCCCCGCGCAGGAGTCCAGTGGTATCAAGTACATCGTCACGCGTCCCTGGGCTCGTGCTCAGGAGCGGTAGTAGTATTAGCAGTAGCAGCAGGGCCCTGGTGACGGTCAATCATCCACCTCCATCCCTTGATCGTCTTCAAGACGTCACTGGCGTGCTCGTCGCCGTGTTTCTGCGCAACCATGCCCAGCAGCCACTGCAGCCACGTCGTCCTGCCCCATTGGCCCCTTTGCAGGTCTCGTGTGACCACCTCCGTCACCTGCGCGAGCACTTGAGACGAGACGTTCCTTGTTAGCGCTCGCTGGACGCTTGCACACCGCTGCAGGCGCCGGAGTACCTGGCGGTCGTTGAGGTGCGAGGCCTCCATGTACCATTGGCCCATCTTGTCGAGGAGGGCCATCTTGGCCTGGATCTCGCGGGCGATTTCCTCCGGATCTGGAGTCGTCCTTTGCGCGGTTGCCGCCAATCGGGATAGTTTGAGCATCTCCCAGTGCACCGGTCGTGTGATTTCGGGATCTTTGATGATTCGTTCTAGGTATGGAACCCATGCTTCCCACCCCCACGCTGTAAGTTGTTCGCCCTGGCCTAGCCGTGACCGAAGGGCTTCGTAGAGTTGTAAGGCGAGTCTATGGTCGTCGCATGCTGTGGCGATTGTTCGAACGCAGTCGACAGATGTGCGAGAGATGGGAAGGGATGGTAATGCGCTGGGGAGGGCGTCGGTTTGGTTGATGCCCTTGAAAAAGTTGAAGAGCTCAGTCAAGATGCTGCTTGCGTTGGGAAGGCTATGGATTGCAGAGAACAAAGCTGCCCATCGCTGTGATAGGGAGCTGTATTCGATTCGTGTAATCTCGGTGTGTAGATTGCCATCAATGGCTCCTGTTGCTTTTAATCTGGCGACAACAAGCTGCCATAGCTGGAGATGACGCAGATCAATCTCATGGGATGCGGTGAGACGCTGATAAGATTGAACAAACTCTTGGTTTGTTGTGGCTGGGTTGTAAGCTTCGGCTAATAACCATGAGAATAGCAATCTTCGCTCTCTCTCTTGGCCCATCTCCTGCTGTGACAAAAATGTGTGTATATCATCATCCAGACTTTGTAACTGTGTAGGATGCAGCATCGAGAGGGCCTGTCCAAATTGAACCGCTGTGGCTTTCCAGCTTGCGGAAAGGTTGCTACTGGTAGCCTGAGTTACAATAAAAGATCGTGCCAAGTTGAATATCTGATCTGTGGGTATGTGGATCTTGATCGAGTCCGGCATCAAGCTCAGCATTCGGTTGAAAAGCCTAACATTCTGGTAGCTGCCTCCCGAAGAACAAATGATGGTGGCAAACGCCAACCAAAGTTCTCGCACAGCGGCCTGGTCAGAATTCTTCTTTTGAGCAGCATTAAGGCCAGCCAGAAGGCTGCGGCGAATTCTACCAAAAAGCCAATCTGCCAGCTTCGGATCGGACAATTTGTCTCTTGTGGCCCGGTCAAGGGGCTCCATTGCCAAACGCAGTCCCTCAACGGAAATCGGTACTTTCTCCATTCTGCGCAAATAATTACGCCGAAACCCTTTTCGTAAACGATCCAACGCTTCGCTGTTTATCGTCTCCAGAGTAGCAATAGAAGCCCGTAACACTACCAATTCTTGTGGCAGCTCTGTTGGTATAGGACCATCGTGATATGGAGGTTCAACTGCTGCTGCTGCTTCTCCCGCCGACATGCTCGACATGTTGGAGACGGCAACATCTGCCGGCGGCTGAATGAATGGCCTGTCGCCATCAGATTTCTCTAGCCAGGAGATAAGACCGTCAAAGAGGGCCGAGGGGTTAATGGCTTGCTTCTTTTTCTTCCTCTCCTCCACTGTAGTTGGCGGCTCCCATTTCCACTCGCTGGGGATCCAGGCCACGTCAAAGTGCCATAGCGGGGTATAGGTCGAAGACGAGGGCATGATTCCCGTCATATTGCGCTTGCCGAGCTGGCGGCGACGGCTTTCGAGAGGCCCAGAGTGCGAGCTCAGCAGTCGGCAGGATGCGGGAGCGGCGAATTGGCGATGATAGTGCTCAATGGCTTGGCGAAGCATCGAGTCTGTGATCCAAATGGCCGAAGCCCTCTGCGGGATTGCAGGCCGGCATTGCGCCGATGACCGCACGGGCATTGGTGCACCGCCGACGAAGAATTTTGATGATGGAGTCGTCACGATTATCGAGCCATCGCACTGGTGCTCGCAAGAGGGAAGGAAGCCGTGCCGTACCGGGCCGCGTCGAGGATTGTGTCCGCTTCGTTGCTCGGATTTGTCCCTCTCTCCACAAAATTGGAAGCTCTGCACAGATTCTGGAGATGCTGGAGCTAACGCGGTGTATCGGGAAAAACTGTAGTTCCGATGAAGATTACGTAGCGCAACGGCACCGCAGAGGCACGAGGTACCTGCACGAGGTACCTGCAGCGCACGAGGCACAAAGCACGAGGGGTCAGAGCTCAACGTATCCGGTACAGTGCAAAGCGCCCCGTAGTTCAACTGGAAGTGCGCTGCTGTAATTTTGTATGGGGCCCGGATGTACTCTGGACCCTGTGGCTCCTCATGCGCTCCTCATTCGAGGCATATCCATCGCAAAGTGACATTGCGCCGTAACTTGTCGACTCCGCCTCACTCGGAATCGCTGCACCGCGCAAACCCCCGTCATCCAATCTCGGGGTCCCAAATGAGCTGACGGGGCAGATCCATGCACGACCGATCCATCCTGGTCCCGGGCCACCGCAGGCGATTGTGACGCCGAGGAGCTGCTTGTTGGAGCTCTGGCAGCATCTGCGTTTGTTCGCTAGTCCCGAAAGCTCGCGAACACCCAGCCCGCTTTCGCTTGGCTCTCCCCTGAGCACATGCGAAGAAGGGCTCTCGAACGCCGTCTGCTGTTTCACTTGAGGTCCTCCCTGAAACCAAACTGCAGGCGAGCGCGCAGAGGCAAGACATAACCAGCACGGGGAAACAAGAGACAAAACAGCTCGAAACGAACGCAAGGAATCAGACCAAACCAAACAAAACAACACCCAGTTGCTACAGCATACCGACCACGAGCAGGGCGGCGCAGCATACTGTGGCTCTCGTCCATATCTCCCCCCGTCGCATTCCTGCCCAGCTTGCTGCGGGCTCCATGGCTCTGCGTGTCCCTTCGTTGTTGCTGTCCAACCTCGAAAGTCGCTTATGAAAATTGCTGATGGAGCCCGTGGTGTATGAAGAAACGCCTCTAGCCGACTACCTCAGAGGTATGTTGAGGTTTCTCCAGATTGTCGCTTCCTTCCCCTGAATCGTGCGCATACTGACCGGTCTCGTCCTCGCCCAAAGATGGAGGTAATATGTCGGAGGCAGAATGGGCTCCCATGGACGGCACTCCCGATTTCCAGTCGTCGATAGCATCGTCACCTCCTGCGAGCCCGACCCCCTTTGCGCCCACCGGCCGGCCCTTGGTGAGGGCACGATTCCGCAATACCAACAGGCTGGAGCTTGCCGAGGAGCCTCAGGCGCAGGCGCAGGCGCAGCCTCTGACGCTGCAGTCGCTTAAGAAAAGCTGCTCTGTATGTTCAAAACCCGCCATTGTTGAAGCTCTGTTGACTGCATAAATCTAATCTGGAGTTGAATCAATCGATAATAGGCCCTCCTCGCCGCTAGCCTCGATAGCGCAGACAACGCCCGGTTCCTCGAACAGTTTAGATATACAATCATTGCTTCTCAGCTCCTGAATGGCCATTTGTTACTTGGGAACCGACCTCCGGCCCTGAAAACGCCGGGTTCGACCGCAAACACCAGTGACCAATCTCTCCTCTCGACCGAAGGTATTATAGTGTCCGTCGTCGGAGCGCTAGCTCTCGCAGTCTTCCTAAGCTGGGCACTGAGTAGTGCGCCATCGCATGTGACGAAACGACGCCTAATTCTGGTGCTTATTATTGCTGCAGCGGCCGCGCTGGTAGGACAAGTCTTTGTGCGACGACAGTGGCTTCGCTACCGCAGAGAGCAATCCCTGGCTGAAATCTCCACATTCATCTCGAATTCGCAGAACTTTGATAGTGCAACTGAGGCCGCGCTCTCTCTCGTACAGGAAGTCGAGCTTGTCTCTCGAGGATACCGAATGTCAGTTTTGCTCCCTGCATCTTCTCTAGCTGTAGCAGCGTCTGGCTCCGATTACAGCTTGCATAGATGTTGACATGCTAACAATTTCCACAGTAGCCTACCTCTTGCGCCAGTTAGCCGAATTGAGGAGCGTACCCAAAGCCGAAAATGCGGTCGGCTACGAAAGGCGCTCAAAAACTCGTTTGCCGGCGTTTTGCAGACATACAACCAGGTGGCCGACGTTGTCAGGGGCTTTGCCGAGCAAATGGAGCTGGAAAAGTACTATGACATGTATGACGTTAGCGATTTCGACATCTCGGATTCGCGCCTGGGATTCAACGAATCTGAATTTGAGGATGCGGAGTCGCTGAGGACGCTGAAGATTCTTGCTGCGCGATTCCATACCACGCGAAAGATGCTTCTCTGTGCTCTGCTGGCGCTGGATGCGAATGGAGAGGCCAAGGATTTGCTGCGCTGGACAGCTGCTGTTGAGGCGCTACAAAGCGCCAATGTCTCGACCAAGTCTGTGTTTGAAAAGCTGCAGGGGATATTGAGCGAGGAAGAATGTAAGCCTTTTTTTTTTTTTTTTTATTTACCTCTACCGAACCCGTTTCTAACAATTGTTCAGCATTTCCCTTGCCACCCACTCCGTCGCTGCCTCTAACACCAGGCAAAGAGCGATGGCGCTCCCAGGTCCGCAAGCTCAATTCCATGTCGACTGGAATTCGAGGCCTGCAAGCCAAGCTTCATCTACTGCGAGAAGAATCCGATAGAGCGCTGGATGATTCCAATGACATCTCTGAAATTGGACCCAATCTCATGTCGCAGTACGACTCCATTGGAGTTGATCTCAAAATGCTCATGGCAGCATGGGAGGAGGGCAGAGCCGCTCTAGCCCAAGGTATCGATAGGACCGAGAAGAGGCTTTCATCAATAAGCACGCTCCTTTCACCTGCAAGCTCCCTAAGCGGACTTACAACCATAGGCGAGGGAGGTGCGGCAGAAGCCTTCAAGGCTCTCACTGGTGAATCCCCGCCAGCATCAGATATCAATGATGCTGAGGAGGACCAGGAGATTTTCGAGGCGGTAGCCAAGCCGCGACCTCGAAGCATGCTGACGCGAGAAGAGAGAATCGCAAAGGTCAAAGAAGAGAGGGAGCATAGAGCGGCAGCCCGACAGCAGCTGGAGGCTACAAAGGGCATGCTGAGAGAGCTGGAAACAGTCATCAGCCTGCGACCTCAAAAGCGAGCCAGCGCTCCTCCTGGGGCACGCATCTCCATGTGAGGTCTGATTCACGAGTCTCGACGATAATCATCATTCCCTCAACTTTTTTTTTCTCCGGCCTGTCTTTTATGCAACATTCATAGGCGCACGGCAGCATCATATCTCTCTTTTAAGCATCTCTTTCTTTTTTTCTTCTTTTTGTTGATCTGTCTCTGGTCTTTTGGTTCGTTGTCTCTCTCTCTCTTTTTTTTTTTTTCCTTTTATGCTTTGGGGTAAGATACGGTACAATGGCTCTGGGGTTTGTGGCGATAGGCTGTCTGCTTTTTTTTTTTTTTTTTTTTCATTGATTGTTTTCTCTTCTTGTTCTCTTAGAATCGGTCAGAATTGTGGCTAGTGGGAGGTGTTTGTTTTGTTTTGTTCCATGTTTATCATTCTTTTCTGTTCGCTGTTTAGACAAGGCGTATGAGACGGGGAACTGCGCAACGCAAATTTTGTACATTACACTGAACATTCGGCATGCTTATTATCTCCGGCAACATGCGTTGGAGTGTTGAAATCTTGTTTGTTGAAATGCGGCATAGATGTGAGGATGGGGCCACCAAATTGAGTGCAGCGGATGCAATGCGATTTAGATGATGCAATTGATTTTCCTATTTCATGGCTTGTGTTTTTCATTCGCCCTTTATTTTGTTTGATGCCATGTGAACCAATAAAAATCAACGTCTGCTTATGCCTGAATTGTATGCTGAATGAATCACTCATTTCGTCGGTACTCCCTTGCCGCCGTCCCAGGCCGCCCAGGTGCTCGTACCCTTCAGCTCCAGGCACCAGACGCTAAGAAAAAGACCTGCCCCGCGTGCAATTGGCGTCAGTCCCCAGCTAGACGCGTCTCAATTGCCCACAGCTTCGTGCCGTCGTGTTAAGTGCTTTTTTCTGCCTGGCGACCCAGAGCTTCCTCCACCAAAAGGACGTGCTTCTTTCTTCCTCGCCAACAAAACTCTGTGATACACACCGTGCAGCGCCGAATCTCTTGCCTCTGCACTGCATCCGGATTTCCACAGCAATTCCACTCCTTCTACCTCTCGTTGTCTCTTTAATACCACACACACACACACCCCTCTATCCAGTACGTATTGGAGCACTGCTACTGCTGCGTGCACTTTGCCCTCTTGTCTACGCCCCAATGCTCTTGTGATCGCGCCCAGACAGAGAAGAAAAGGAGTCTAACATGTGACAGAAATGTTGGAAGCACGGTTGGAACAGGCCAGCATCCTGAAAAAGGTAAATTGACACGACCCCGCGTCCTGCAAAGCCTGGCTGACGCCAAAACCGAACCACTAGGTTGTCGACGCCATCAAGGACCTCGTCCAGGACTGCAACTTTGACTGCAATGACTCTGGTATCGCCCTGCAGGCCATGGACAACTCGCACGTAGCCCTCGTGTCGATGATGCTCAAGGCCGAAGGCTTCTCTCCCTACCGATGCGACCGCAACATTGCCCTCGGCGTCAACCTGACGTCTCTGACCAAGGTGCTGCGAGCTGCCCAGGGCGAGGACATTCTGACGCTCAAGGCCGAGGACGCACCGGATGTTCTGAACCTGATGTTTGAGAGCAGCGAGAACGACCGCATCAGCGAGTACGACCTCAAGCTCATGGACATTGACCAGGAGCACCTGGGTATCCCTGAGACCGAGTATGCTGCCACCATTACGATGCCTGCGGCTGAGTTTCGGAGAATCTGCACAGATCTGGCTGCCATGTCAGAGTCAGGTATGTAACTTGCACGCAAATCCCAATTGTGTGGATAAATGTGTATGATGAGAGGAATGAGATGGAAGCTAATATCAAACCCTGGCAGTCGGCATCGAGGCCTCCAAGGATGGCGTCAAGTTCTCTTGCAACGGTGACATTGGTAACGGCTCGGTCACTCTGCGAAGCCACACCAACATTGACAAGCCCGATTTGAACGTCGACATTGAGTTGACGGAGCCCGTTTCTCTGACCTTCTCCCTCAAGTACCTGGTCAACTTCTGCAAGGCCGCTGCCTTGTCTAGCCAGGTCAAGATCTGCCTCTCCAGCGAGGTGCCGCTCTTGGTTGAGTACAACCTCTCCGGTAGCAGCTACCTGCGTTTCTACCTTGCACCAAAGGTCCGTTTTACGTTTACTATACATATATTTATGATGATCTGTATCATGCTAACGTTTGCGATTTGAAATAGATTGGTGATGAGGAGTAAATTTATTCCCCCTAAACCCTACGATTCAGACGCCCAACACATACAATCTTCGCATATATCAGGCCGAGCTTTGGAGTAAAAAAACGACTCAAGTCTTCCATCACGGCTGATCGACTACCCACCGATGATAGGCAGAGAGAGAGAGAGAGAGAAGAAATGGATATCGAGAATGTTGTTATAGTTGCACAGGCCTCTTTCTTTGTTTTTCTAATCATGATCTGTGGTAAAGAAGGAAAAGAACAAAAACAAAAATGAATGAGCATATGCCTAGCTTTAGTCTTACAAGCCGATAATTACCTCCCTGAACTACCCATCTTGACCTTGTCCCGCGCTGGAGAGGTTTACTACCAGCTCGCTTTTCTTTCCGCTACTATCCCCTTTTAACGCCTAAAGCGCCCTTGTGCTATCAACTCTCTTACGTACGGTTTAGGCCGGATCGTAGTCTCGGCCGTCGGCGGGGCGTTTTTTCTACCCCATGATAACGTCTCACGCGCCCTGTGCTAGCCCTTGGAGATTTGCGCCTTTGAGTGTTTTTTGTCCTCCCTTTGCTGTGTTGGATTATCGCCTTGGTAGTAGACCAAAAGTTATCTTTCTCTCCTAGACAAACCCTAGCGGTGAGTAGCCTGTTGTCTTACCCGCCATTTATTGTGGCTTTAAACTCCCTCCGCTGACGGCGGGACCGGGCCCCGGCCATGGAGCTTATTCATTATTCATCAACCGGTCAGGTTTGAGTTGGCCTGGGCTAGACCATTGACCTTCTCTAAACTTCCAAAACTCTCATTCCTTTCTAAACTTCATATACAACATATCGTTATTTTATTCTTATTTCCTTCAATCTGACGTTTCATTTTCAAGATACCCCTCCGGAGTTCGGCGCGCAGTATTCTTCACTTCCTAGCAGGAAAAAAAACTATGTCTGACTCAGTGGTGCTTGCGCCACGAGTATTGGCGGTGGCCAGCCATGTAAGCTGTGTTGATGAGTTTACAATGAAGATTTTTATGATGATTCATTTCATGGGCCTGAGCTAACTGTGCTGTTCTCGCAGGTTGTCTCAGGGTATGATTTGGACTTGAAAAGCAAGCGTGAAAATGCTACTCTATGAAGTTGTTGGGCGATTTGAGTTAACGTGGGCCATTCCAGCAACGTGGGAAACAAAGTCGCCGTCTTCGTGCTCCAGTCGCTGGGAAGTGAAGTCGCTGCTCTAAACACGGTGCAGTTCAGTGAGTCTTCATTTGTTTATTGAGTTTCGAGGAGGAAAAGAGCCCCCCTTGATGAGTAGACATGGCTGACTCAAGACGCTGCGCCTCTCTTTCTCTCGACTCTAGGCAATCACACAGGTTACAAGCAGTGGACAGGGACGAGAGCCACGGCTCTAGAGATCACCGACCTCTACAACGGCCTGAAGCAGTCGTATCTGGATGACTTTGACATGATGCTCTCCGGGTACATCCCCGGCGCGGAGGGGGTCACTGCGGTGGGAAACATTGCCAAGGGGCTGAAGGATAAGTTTCAACATTCTCCGGGCAAGTTTTTCTGGGTGCTGGATCCCGTGATGGGGGATAATGGGAAGCTGTATGTGGCGCCGGAAGTTGTGCCCGCGTACAAGGCTCTTTTGCCCTATGCGGACCTGATACTGCCGAACCAATTTGAGGCCGAGTAAGTTTGTTACAAGCCTCGATATTTGATGGAGAAGAGACGTTCATGAGCCACTAACCTATGCAGACAACTCTCAGATGTCAAAATCGTCGACCTGGACAGCCTCACCCAGGCCATCCAGGTGCTGCACGAGAAATTCAACATCCCTCACATCATCATCACCTCCGTCAGCTTCACAACCCCGGACCATCCGCCCTCGCACCTCTCCGTCATCGGCTCCACCATGACCTCTGGCCGCAAGGCCCGGACCTTCAAAATCACCTTTCCGTCCATTGACTGCTACTTCTGCGGCACGGGCGACATGTTTGGCGCCCTCATCACGAGCCGCATCCGAGAGGCCACGGGCGCTGTTCCCGGTCTGCGCGGCCGCGCGAGCTGGCTGAGCGACGACGACGTGCCCGCGACGGAGCTGCCGCTGGCGAGGGCGGCAGAGAAGGTGCTGGCCAGCATGCACGAGGTGTTGGCGAAGACGCGGGATGCGATGCCTGCGGTGATGGAGAGGACGTGGGCAGAGCTGAAGGCGGAGGATAGGGATCATAAGGACAAGGCGCATTATGTCAAGTCGAAGGCAGCGGAGCTGCAGCTGGTTACCAACTTGGATAGCTTGAGGAGTCCTAGTATAAAATTCTCGGCAACGAAGGCTTAGATTGGGGGATGGGAGAATGGAATGGGTGAATTGGATATAGACGCGGGGGTTCCAAGCAATGGCGTGGAATCACATCTTTTGGCTCAGTATTTTTTTTTATCTGTATAGACTTGAATCAAATAGCTGTTTATATTCTCATTTAAGAGTAATCTCATTCCGTACCGATCCGACTCGGTAGTGTCTTGATATTGTATCCCTCTGCGTGTGCCCCGTCTATACCCTCACCGCCATTTATAATATCATGCCATGTCATTAAAATAGTAATTCAAAATCCTTTTTAGTTCTTGCCCGTGCTGCCAAAACCACCGACTCCTCGAACACTCTCCTCCAGCTCCTCGACCTCGACGACATCGGGCGTCACGATCCGCTCAAGCACCAGCTGAGCAACCCGGTCGCCCTCCTTGATCTCGTAGTCGGCGTCTGCGTGGTTGAAGAGGAGCACCTTGACGGGTCCGCGGTAATCTGCGTCGATGACGCCGGCGCCGGTGTCGATGAAGTGCTTGGAGGCGAGGCCAGAGCGAGGAGCAATTCGGCCGTCTACAAATGGTGTAATAAGTCCTGGTCAGTCAATTGATCTTCTCAAGATGCTTTGTTTCAACATACAAGTTCCAGCCGGCACGGCAATGCTAATGTCTGTATCGACGAGGACCTTGCCTCTCGCAGGCACAATCGTGTCTCTGGCGGCGTACACGTCGTAGCCGGCGGCGAATGCGCTGCCTCGCGTGGGCAGTCTGCCCTGGGGAGAGAGCTTCTTGACTTGCAGGGGGATTGAGGCCTCCATTACTGTAGCTGTGGTTGTGGTTGTGGCTGTGGTTGTGGTTGTTGGGTTGGCTGGAGCTTCTTCTTGAGGTACGGCAGACGAGTCTTGGTCCTGCTCAGCGTCGCCGTCGAGGGGGAGGGTCTTGATGCGCTTGGCGGGAGGGGAGGCGGTGCCGTTGACTTCAGGAGCTGATGACATTGTTGATTAGACGAATACGAAGATTGGACAGTTGGAGCAAAGATTGAAGTAATGGCGGCAATGATTGGGCTCAAACGATTGTGCAATTCTGGTGGGGGGAGGGAGGAAGGGAGAGAGGATGAGTTAGACAGAGGAGCTGAATAAATGGAACGAGGGTCTGGGCTTTTCTTTTTTTTTTTCGGTTGGTGGAGTACGAGGTATCCCTTACCGTTGGTGTAACTTGTTAGGCAGGGCGAATTGCATCAAATCCAATGGAGAGCTGAGAAAAAGGAAGTCGGTGTGAGAACGGTCTGGCCTGGTAGCAAACAAGCTGTTAGTGGTGGGATTTTTTGGAGGGGCGGCACGCGACGCGTTTTTTTGATAAGTGGTTTTTGACGCGGGGAGTAAATTGGTCCAATTGAGCTGGTGGGGTGCTGTTGGATGTCATGCTTGTAGGCAATTTCGTTGGTCTGCCTTCTGTAGGGCATTGGTACAGCTCGATAGGATGCCATTGGGTACCAATTGTATCATGGGTCACTAATATCAGGCGGTCAAAGTGTATACTGATATCAATTGCATTGACATTGCTACAACGATCAAGGACAATAGCGGCAGAACCAGTACAAGTCATATAAGCAGTGATGCGCACTGTATGCCAGTGTAAGCGTATCAAAGGCTGTCTCGTGTATGGCACAGGTCACGGCTGTTCAAAACAGGCAAAGGCGACTGTTTACATTGAAAGACTCCATTTGATCAACGGATAGTATTAGTCTAGTCGTCCAGCTCTCGTCCATAGTCCACCAGCCGTATCCTCATGGCGTCTTTTGGGTGAAACTGCGCAACGTTGGACCTGATGAGGAATCTCGCCGACGCCGTCTCGTACGGCAGCCTCACATAGGCATCCGAGCTGTTGCCCTTTGCCTCCACAAGCTTGTTGAGCAGCTCCTCTGTAAGCTGCCGCATCTCTTCGCCAGCAGCCGTAGCCACATCCCTCTTCTTGCCGCCGCTGCTGCCGTCGCTGGGGCCCCAGATGTCGTCTATGCGGCGCTGGCTCTTGTCCTTGTTTACTTCGCCCTTTGGCTTCTTGAGCTTCCCCTGCGCGTTGAAGCCCGCGGCGATTTCCTCGGCGTCGGCGTCCATCAGGTCCCCGACAACGGGGCCGCCCATGGCTTCTGCCGCAAGCATCACCGCCAGATGGTCGTCGATGAAGCGGTTGAGGGACTTCATCAGCTTGCTCGTTTCTTTGTTGTACGTTTGTTTCTTCCGCCGTAATTCCTCGATGCGTTTGCGCGCTTCGTCTTCGGGCTGCGCGTTGGCTCCAGAATCCGCCTCTGTGCGTAGAGTCTCGATTCTTTGCTTGAGAGCTTCGTTGAGGAGCTGCTGGTCCCTCAGCGCAGCTTCGTCATCTTTTAATCGCTTCTTTGTCTTCTCGGTCGTCTCAGTCTGCGAGGCGAGAAACGCTTTGGATTCTTGGATTGTCTGATGTGTCTTGCGCAGGGCCAGCAACGCAGGTAGAACCGAGCCCGGGAAGGGGAGAAAGGGTTCCGAGTTGGTGACGTCGTCAAACGCTGTTTTGAGGATCCGCGCTTGGCCAGCGGCGGTGCTGGGGGCATCGTACCCGGCGGATCGCAACTATGACTGCTTTGTTAGATGCTGTCTGGATTGCGCTCAAGAAATGGTGGCTACCTCGCTTAACTGAGCATCATATTCGCGAACTTTTCGCTGAAGCTCCTTTAGGGTATGGTCAATGTTTGTCGCATGAGATTGAGCCTCCGAGTTGTTGCGGGATCTGTCATCCATGGTTCTGTGAGCTTCGTTCGTCGTCAGTAACTCGGTCGATTCTCTGCAAGCTCTCCCAGAGAATGCGACAGTGCAGTGTCGCAAGACAAATAAGGTGCGAGGCATACATACCGTATTCTATACTGTATTTACACAGTCACACAGTATATATTCCGGCCCTGTAGCTGCGAGATTATAGCGTCTGTGAGGCTTAAAACGCGCTGCGGGGAAGTGACCGCCCATTGGAAAGCTTCTTTCCAGCCTGCATAGACTGCACTGTGCACTTGCCGCCGCATGTCGCGCATTTCGTAGTGCTGGCAGTCCAATTGGCCCATCACGTGACGCTTTCGCGGCAGTTCTCCCTTGCTGGAGGCCAAAGGCCTTTCTGCCAGCTCCGACGTCTCACCAAAGTTTCTTCTTTCCATCCGCCGCCTCGTTTCTCCATCAGCCTCCTCGCCACGCGCCGACTCGTAGCCATCGATCCGATCGCATCGCATCGGCATCTTCGCGTCATCGTTTCCAGCGTCCTGCGAGATTCCGTCTTGCCGCTGATCAAACCGTCCCCGCGTGCGGCTGTTCGCGTTATCTAGACCCTGCTTGATATCCTGGTTGGAAATCAGCCCTGGGCTCTTTTTATCACGTCCTTTGCCTTCAGTCCTTCTGTCGGAGATCACCACGTCAGCGTGCACGAGCGACAGGCCGCATCGTCGAGGCGATTCATCCGCATCCGCAGGACACGGGCCGTCGATTATCAGAGTTTAAACGCGCCAGGTGTTGGTATTGCGTGAGCGTCAGCTGCGACTCACAAGGTCTTGACTAGGAGGGCAAAAAGGTTTGAGTTGAGCGCTTCGTCTCTTCATTCTCTGCTTTCGAGACATATCCGTCCTAGTAACGATACGCTTCACCACCATCCTCTGCACCACCATCACCACTGCCATCAGCCACTCAATTTTCATCATCGCCCTCTCTTTCCACTCACCACCTGGGACATTGATCGAGATTCCCTACCACTTCGACACCTTTTTTTTGCGAAAGCTCTGGATCATCTAGACGCGGAAGAAGAGAGTTCCACCCTTTGAGAACACAGCTCCTCCCACACTTATTCCGCTGCACACAGTCTGGGCAGCGCCCTTTTGCGACACCAAAAAGTCACATCACGAAATCCTGCACACTCGAGACAGCCGATCCTTCATTACCGATTCCAGCCACTACACCAGCACGTTTTCCTTCGAAAACCCCCTGAGTGTAGATTAAGAAGAACAAACGAATCCAGAAAAAAAATTATAAAAAAGAAAAGAATTCAGAGGATCTTTGATCGCCACCAATAGGACGAAGCTTTTAATTCGTCTTCATCTTTCTGTGAACTATACCATTCCTTTTTATTCAAGGAATCAAAATGTCTGCCTCGCCCCCACAACCGACTCAGTCGGCTAAGCGCCCTCTCGAGGAGCCTTCCTCGCCCTCGCGAGCGACTGACCAGCCGGAGGCCAAGCGACCCGCCTTGGACAAAGATGCCAAGCATGACGAAGAGACGGAGAGGCTCGAGCTTCCCACCGAAGTGCCTGCTGAGGCTGCAGAGCAGAATGGCGAAGAGGAAAATGCCAATGGCGTCGCGGCCACAGAGTCGTCTGATAACACCCTAGCCGAAGCTGGCACCAGCGTCAAGGCCACTCCTACTGTCCCAATCTCAACAGCGTCCTCGTCTGCCGTGGCCGCTTCGGCCGCTGCTCACGATGAGAGCTCATGGATCCACATCAGGGCTGTCATCTCCAGCCCGGAGGCTGCCACCATCATCGGCAAAGGCGGTGAAAACGTATCAAACATTCGAAAAATGTCCAATGCCAAGTGCACAGTCAGCGACTATCAGAAGGGAGCTGTCGAGCGAATCCTGACCGTCAGTGGCATCGTTGATGCAGTTGCCAAGGTACGTACGAACAAACAGTGGTCTCTTTTCCCTCCTCCCCTGTCCCCATCTCTTAACATGTGAGTTTCTTGTCTTGAGGCGCATAGCACTAACACTCTCTTCCTTGTTTTCTTTCCCCATTACACAGGCCTTTGGTTTGATTATCCGAACACTGAACAACGAACCGCTCTCCGAGGCATCCACCGCCTCTTCCAAGACATACCCCCTTCGTCTCCTGATTCCTCACATCCTCATTGGTTCCATCATTGGCAAAGGCGGTTCTCGGATCCGAGAGATCCAAGAGGCGTCCGGCGCTCGACTGAATGCCTCAGATTCGTGTCTCCCCATGTCAAGCGAGCGCTCCCTTGTTGTGATGGGCGTCGCCGATGCCGTTCACATTGCCACTTACTATGTCGGTAGCACTCTGCTTGAGCAGCTCAACGAACGATTTGGCGGACCCGGGGCCTCAGCATATGCCACCAGGAGTGGTGCACCCGTTGGCTCCATCCCCGGAGGCATGCAGGTGGTTCCCTACAGCCCACAGCCGGCATCCGGACACTATGGACGTGCAGAGAATTACGGCCGACACCAGGAGCGTCGACCCCATCACATGCCACCTGCCCCATACCCCCAGCCATACGCCCACGGCGCCCCTCACGGTGCTCCGGCGATTCCCATGCAGTACGGAGCTGGTCAGCCTGCCGCATATGGAGCAGCTGCTCCTCACGTTCAGCCGCACATGGCTCCCCATACCGGCCCGCAAGCACACGGCGCTCCCCAAGGCCAGCCCATGCATGCCGGCATGCCAGGAGGCCCCATCACGCAGCAAATCTACATTCCCAACGACATGGTCGGCGCCATCATTGGCAAGGGAGGACAGAAGATCAATGAGATACGGCAAATGAGCGGCAGCGTCATTAAGATTAACGAGCCCCAGGACAACAGCAACGAGCGGCTCGTGACGATTACAGGAACGGAAGAGTGCAACCGCATGGCTCTTTACATGCTGTACTCTCGACTTGGTGAGACGCAAAACCGATCCACGGGAGCCTAAGCTTCTAACCAGTATCGAGCGACAGAATCTGAGAAGCACCGAATTTAACCACATCGCCTTGTCGATTTCTTCTCAAAGAGCGGCGATGCGAATTGGTTATAGTCCCTCTGCTTTTTACACAATGAGGGGCGAGTATCAGTGAATGACGGCGCAAAGGGCAGGGCGAAAGGTCGGCTGGCTGCACTATGTAATATGTTTGCCGAGGGATCAATGAGATGACCCTGTGATGCTGGCAACTACTACAGATATTTGGACTTGTTCTCTCTTCTCTTATTCTTCTACTTGCCTTTTTTTGTAACTGCTCGGTTTTTATTGTTCTTGCCGTTTATCTCTTTTTTTTTTTATTGGCAGTCTTCTAGAGACGGGATATTTGCTGTGACTGGGACCGAATTTTAGGATGAATGAAGGAGGGTGCAGAGCAATGATGATTAGAAACGGAGCTCTACGGGACATTTGGCGGCACGATGGTTGATTTGACTTTGATTCACTGATTATCAGAATGGGGGGAGTCTACGAAGCTGGCTTTTACAATGAGGTGGGTTATCGTTTGATATGATGCCAAGGGACTGCAAAACAAAAAAAATGGACATATGCTCTATAATATGCGACGGTTTCTCTTTTTGTTCATTTATGAAATTTCTTTTTTTTTCTTGCTCTTGAATTTATCTCTGGGGCGCTCTAAAATGTCTATTTGGTGCAACATGAAGCCAGCATGTAGTGCGTACCTGGCACTGCTTCTCTTGGTGCCGAGCTATTATCATGTACAGGCAAGCACCTTTATGATGCGTTCATTTGGGGTATGTTTGTTAGCTTTCACAGCTTCTTCAAGTTGACATGATACTGTGGATATAAAGAGTTAGCTTGCAATTGCCCTTTCTCTCGCTGCTTTGACCATGTTGGAGTGAATCGTCCTTACCAGGTGAAACCCCTTGCTGTAGGGAAGAATCATAGGAAGATTGCTGACAATAGCTGCAGTAGACAGTCAGTGTTGGTTCGGCTCGCCTTGTTTAAACATGTATCTAGGGGCAAAACGTACTGCCGCCTTCTCCCTGCAGGGCGGTATGAGCCTCCTTGTTGACCCAGCCCAGCAGCAGAATCACCTCCTTCTGCTCCGGCACCTCTTCGTTGACGTTGATCACCGTCTTGTACTCGCCCGTCGAACCGCCAATCAAGCCCGGCAGCTTCGCATCCACGAGCTTCTGGATAAAGGGATCCAGGCGCGCCTTGTGGAAATCGTCACTGGCGCCATGGTTGATGAAGAACTCCGTACAGGGCGAGTCTAGAGGAATGGCCGGTTCGCCCGTCGTCTCCTGCGTGGTCTTGATGACGCTGGTGGCGAGCGGCGCGGCGTAGGCGTCTGCCCAGGCCTGGAAGTTGGGGCTGTTGTGGAAGTCGTCGATGGCGGACTGGCCGGTCCAGCGGGCGACCCAGGTGTACTTGTCGGGATGCTCGATTTGTTGGCCAAAGTAGAGGGCGATGAGGCCCGGGGTTGAGGCGAAAGTTTTGAGGTTGTCGAGCCAGGACTGGGGAGGGGATGAGGGGGAGTCTGAGAAGCTGACGATGGCGATTTCGACAGTTTCGGGCATGTTGGGCTGATGTGATTTTGGGGGGGAAAGCAAGAATTTGTAGGTTTACAAGTTCGAAGAGGATAGGATGCAGAGGAGGAGAATGGCTTGTGGGAATGAAGGCAGGTTCTGGGCGGATACACTGTTCTCTGTTATGGAAGAGGTGTTGTCCTTGTTATATATAAGCGGGATGCTTCCTTCACCTCGTTCTCCACAGCAGCAGGAGCCTCTCTTCTTTCATTGTGCTCAAGCGCGCGGCATCTCATCTAAACAGCTAGACCCTGTCATATCTTGCATCTTCCATCCGTTCATGACTTACACGCCATCCCCACCACCGACATCAATCTATGCCAAAGCCCTATAAGGGGAAAAAAAAAACATCTCTAGGATTGATAAGCAATTTCTGCATATATACGTGTATCCTTTTTTCAATTTCCACTCTTGAGCCATGGATCTAGCGCATTTGTAATGGCATGTTTCGCAGGTTCCGATTTATAAAGCATGGAAAGTCGGGTTTGCTAGCATTCACCCTTTTCAGGAATAAAGTTGCCAATGTTTGGTTAGTTTTTGGGCTGGGCGGGCAACTTTTCCCGAGACTTAATTGGAGCCGCCCCCCCGGGAGCGGGATCTGCGGTACGTACTACTTGAATCATTCTGCCAGGATGATCTGTGTTACCGTTCTTGTCAATAATTGCCTAGATGGTCAATATGATGGTGCTACCTGATTTTTATAACAAGAACTCGTCCTTTGGTATTTTGGCGAGAATGCGCATTTATTTACAACATGGTTTTTTTTATCGCGATAGCTTGATAGAGTATTTGCAGTGTAGTCGCAGGGTATTCACAAAAGCCACCGTCAGCTCCTTATAGAGGGACCTAACTCTAAAATGTACCCTGCCAACAGTCGTCACTGTGGGCACTGCAGCCTGACAAACCTCATGCTGCCATCATCACCATCATCGCCGTCACCACCACAGCCATGCATCGTTTCAGCTGATGACAAATACGCACACGACTGGCATTTCTCAAGTCTCCAGATACATACAGGGCTCTCAATTGACTGCATTGGCATCACACTAGGCCCATTGGTCAGGCTCTCAGCCTCGTCAGAAGCAGCATCATCAGCATCCAACTCACTCGCCTCAGCCTCGCCATGACCTCCCCCAACGCCTCAGCCTCGCAAGGCCACGCCAACACCAACGACAGCCCCGTCACGCAGATCCGCCTCCTCTCGCTCAACTGCTGGGGCCTCCTCTTCATCTCCGACCTGCGCACGCCGCGCCTCGCCGAGATTGGCCGCCAACTGGCCCTCCTGGACCCCCCGCCGGACATTGTCTGTCTCCAAGAGTGCTGGACGCGCGACGACTACAGCGCCATCTGCAGGGCTACGGCGGACATCCTGCCCTATGGCAAGTTCTACAACAGCGGTGCGTTTGGCGGCGGCCTGGCGCTGCTGAGCCGGTGGCCCGTGGAGTCGAGCTCCATGTTCCGGTATCCGCTCAACGGGAGGCCGACGGCGTTTTGGAGAGGCGATTGGTATGTTGGTAAAGGGGTGGCCATTGCGGGAGTGAGATACGGCCCCGGGGAGAATGATGTGGTTGAAGTGTTCAACACTCATGTGAGTTGTTTAATATTCAGTTGTTCTCATGCTATCTCATGCTATCTACCCGTCTCATCATGAATGATATATATACACACACATATGAGAGAAGAATCGTGAGATGGCCATCTCATCCCGTCTTCAACTCACTCACTCATCCCTCACTTCTCAACATTCAACCGCTAACATCCCTCCCAGACACACGCCCCCTACGAGAGCGGCCCCAGCGACACCTACCTCTGCCACCGCACCGCCCAAGCCTGGGAAATCTCAAAGCTCCTCCGCGCCGCCTCCCTCTCCGGCCGCCTCGTCGTCGCCCTCGGCGACTTCAACATGACGCCGCGCTCGCTCCCGCACCGCATCATCACCGCCCGCACGCCCCTTCGAGATACCTGGCGCGTCCTCCACCCGGACAGCTCCCTCGGCACCGCAGACGATCCCGCGGAGAAGGCCAGAGGCCTCCCCGTGCCGACTGCCGGCTACAACATCAGGTTCAACGGCTCAACTAGCGACGGCCTCTACAACACCTGGCGCTGGTCAAAGAGCGCTCAGAAGAAGCTCAAGACGGAGCCTTCGCCCGTCGATCCGGACAGCCCTGATCCTCGCGGAAAGCGCCTCGACTACGTCTTCGCCACCACCGGACGCTTCCAGCCTGATGCTGCTTCTTCTTCTTCTTCTTCTTCTTCTTCTTCCAACCCAAGCTCTCAATCCCGCGGCTGGGTCGTCCACTCAGCATCCGTCGAAATGACCCAGCGCCATCCCGAGCTCAACGTCTCCCTATCCGACCACTTCGCCGCCTCCGCCATCCTCAAACTCCACCAAATCTCACCCTCCTCCCCCATCCCCGACCTCGACGCCCAGCTACCACAGCAAACCCCCTCAAAAGGTCCAATCCTCGACGACACCCAGCCCCTAACCCTCTCCGACTACGACGAAATCCTCGCCATGACGGACTGGTACATGGCCCGCGAGGTCAGCCAGCGCTTCTGGCGAGGCATCCACTTCTACGCCTCCGTGCTCGTCTGGATCGGCTGCCTCGTCGCCGTGTGGTGGAGCCCGCGCAACTTTGTGGCCTTTATCCTCATGCTCGTCGCCAGCCTGGGTCTCGCCACGGGTGTTGTCGACGGCTTGCTCGCGCTCCTCTTCTTCTGGTCTGAGATTCGTGCTCTTAGGGAGTTTGAATGGGAGATTCGTACTGCCAAGTCGTTTCTTTTGCCGGGGGATGCGGAGAAACCATCATCTGCCAATGTATAGATGGGGCATTACCTAAAAAGCAATCATGTCCGTGAAATGCCATCATTTATATCCATCATTCCCATCTTCTCTGGATATGACGAAACGCAAGATGTAGTTTCTCATTTATTATATACTCTATAATTTCTGGATCCAAGAAAGAAGAAACCTCGAAACTTGTAGGATTAGCCATAAAATACGAGTAGATAATGTCAAATGGTGAAACTTATAAGCATGCGGCAGCTAATGCCAACAAGAAAGAGTGCAATAGCTCTGGGTTATAGGTACTATTATTCTATTGGATAATCACTTCCTGAATCAATACACTTAATTCTATTCTATTCATTAAACCTGCTATATGATTTCTTGTTTCGTTTGTCTCATTTCTTTTTCTTACGCTGATCAAGGCTCGCCCTCTTATCCGAAGCACCTATCAAATAATTCACGGCTTTAGTTTATTAATCTGGGCATCAGTAGGTCATCCGCCTCACGCTATGCCATGCATAACCCATAAAGGCGCTCTGTTTCCTCACCATCATGGCCGTCTCCTTCATATTTTCATCTCGTAGAATAATGTCCCTTGGTCGCTTGGGCACTCTCCGCCCGTATTCCCTCGTAAATCTCTTTAGCAACTCCTTCTCCTCGTCGTCAAATGCGCTCATTGAGTCGATTTCCAAATCTCTGCTGCGAAGGGCTCCCGAGTCAAATGGCACGTTGATCAAGCGAATTGCCACATTTTGTACGGCCATACCATACCCTCGTAGAACCCATCGAACTTCTTCGTCTGTGAGCCCGGGTCTTTCCGTTGCCGATTCTATCCAATCGTCAAGAGGCTCAGATTCATCAAAGTAGTGACTGTCCTCAAGGCTATTGATGTGTGGGATGAAGGGCGGCGTAATGTTCTGTATCGTATCCCATGGAATAGGCTTGAAGAATCTATGCGCTTTGATATCCTCAGCATCATTAGGGAAAACATATCGGCCATATCTGTCCGCCTGTATCCCTATCCCCGGCTGCCTTTGATCGAGCATTTGGTATCGCTTGGAGCAGAGGCGAACCTCTTTGTCCTGGATCAAGCGGTAGATCAAGTCTTTACATTTATCGGTGACGAATGGTCTCATGGGAAACCGAAACCTTTCTTTGTGGGCCTTGAACAAGTCATGAGTATCAATGTTCAATGAATGATGTGCGTAATTTTCAAATCAAATCTGCTTACCAGGATGTTTTGTTTTGTGGGCTTCCTCCCTTCGTCCGACAGAAAAGGCGTGTGTCCATAGAGGCACTCGAAGAGAATGATGCCGATACTCTACTAGTCGCACCTCCCGTCGTAGTACGTTTGATAGTTTTGTGCTTGGATCACCTCGGGGGCCATATACTGACTTGTGCCAACGACGGAATTTGCTCTCGTACGGTTGCCGCATTTATGTCTCCATTCCAAAAGAGTACCAAGGTCCTGGTCGCTTCCTAGGCCCTGCTCGTCATGCCGCTCAAAGTCACCTGCCAGAGCGCGTGCTTTCTCGGCCCGCCCTTGGATGCCTTTATTTTCTTCTTGATCCTTTTCATCTCCTTTAGCATCAATACTCAATTTCCGTAGAAGTGAGTACCTATGGTAGTTGTAATACGATGCATCATGAGGCCATTGCCCGTCAAATGCAAGCCCAAAATCAGAGATTTTGAGATGTCCAGAACTGGATATTAGAAAATTATCAGGCTTAATGTCGCGGTGAATGAATCCAAGACGATGCGCTTCTTCAACGGCCAATATCATCTCGGCAATGTAGAAACATGCCACAGCCTCGTGTAGTATGTTTTCGCGAATCAACAAGCCCAAGAAGTCCCCGCCGGGCATATATTCCATGACCAGATACAGATTTGACAGGTCATCGAAGCTCGCAATCAGTGGCACCACCCTGTCAAGAAATTATAATAAGTTTAAAAGAAGCGGGTTCGAAACACACATGCCAAAAGGAAGAGATCATGAAAGAGAAGGGACTCACCAGTTTGATCCTTCGTAAGAAACAAGAAAGTCCCTCTCAGCGCGAAGATGTCCCTCCTGGCTGCTCCGAAGCATGTCCGATTTTCGTATGACCTTCATTGCAAAGACTCGACTTGGGTAAGAGTACGATGAGTCTGACCTCTCACGTACCAGCTTGACAACTCCAAAGCTACCCTTGCCCAGTATTTTGAGAAACTCGTATTTTGAAGCACAGGTGCTTGCAGTTTGCTGCTTGGCTTGAATTGTGCACTTGGACTTCAAAATTCGTATATCTCTTAGGCGACAGCTCTCCCGGTAATAGAAAGTATCGTAGGTAAGGCTATTGCTGCTAGGCATCATATATGCACTGCGAAAGAGCTCTTGATGAAACTGCTGGCGCCGGAGAGAGCGACGATACGCTTCGCTGCAGAGCTCATTGAAATAAGTCTCCAGGTATATTTTGGCCGCTGCCGCTTTTTCTACCGTCAATATAGTTGGCTTTGGTTTATCTGTCGTCGACTCTTCGATAGTCCCCAAGCCTGCTGCCTCGGGGCTTGATCTAGTCCAACGGCTCCGACGGCTGAGCTTCCTTCTTGGACTTCCACCTTTCGCTGAAGGCGAGCTGGAGACGCGGGAATCGAATGATGTCTTCCTTGTTGAAGCATCTTCCAGGCCTGTCAGTCTGCTGCTGTGGGTGGAAGACCACATCTCATCTCTATCGCTGGAATCGTCAGATTCCGTAACACTGGGCAGACTTGATACCAACTCTATTTGTTGTGGCGAAGAGTCGCAGGTCGTAACAGCATCGCGCAGAGGCAGTTTTTGATTGTTGTGCCGTAGTTTTTGCATGAGACCATTCGCCACCGGAAAGACCTTTGCCCCCTTTACCTTTCGTGGTGTCGAGGCATCGTTGCTGGAAGTGGCGCCGGCCGGATTTATTTTCCCGATATTCAAGGACCGAAAAGCCTCGGTTGGATACCAGTCAGGGGCAGCAGAGTTTTGTGAGCCTGTAAAGATATCAGCATCGACCAAATTATGTTATTCGAAGCATTTGGTGCAGTGCAAAGGGTCGAATTACCATGACTATTCTTCCCCACCCTTGCCATCAGCTTGCCCCGAAGTTCAGACCATACTTTTGAGCCCTTGCGATGAAGGTTCAGGATGTCGGAGCTTAAATGGCCTTCTATGCCACCTGATGGAGGCTGATTCGAGGCGGCAGAGGATTCATTCGGACTATTTGGCACAGGGTCCAAAATTGGATAAGTTCGTTGGCCATTGTGATGTCGAGGTAGCATTCTGTTAGATGGTTATGATTGAAGCGGGCACAATTTCCCGAATAAAAAGAAAGAGAAGAGTATGAAGATAGACTCCGTGGGTTGTATTTTTTCTTTTTCTTGTTGATATAAAATCTAGCATTTAATGAATGAACGAGAACCGGCGTCGCAAATATTGACGGGAGACGCGGTGGGAAGAAAAGGAGAGAATAGAAGATGAAGAGAGTTGAAAGTGTGAGAAGAGAGCGGCAGGGGACTAAATAAGGAGCTGTCCATCCATCACACGCTCTTTCCGTGTTTACGGGAATTTGTCGATCGCTCTTTTCGCAGCTTACCTATATCAAAAAGCCAGATCGATAAGAGAGCTCGCATCTAGAGATTTCAGCAGTTCTCTCTCTTTCTAGGTCATAGATACATGAACGATTTAACTATGAGAAAGGCAAGAGACAATGGCAACAAGAAGCTTGTTGATGATGTTATAGTGATATATTGTACTGTATAGACGTCTAAATCGCCTTCATCGAACCATAGCAGAGCCGTCCCAATTCTTTTAGTGACGGCTGCAATATATAATGCAAGGACTAGCATTTGCCCATTTCGCATAATGCTCCCATCTTTCAAACAATCCCAGATCATCACCCATGTTAATCACACCTGGACTCGCATGCCATATCGGGTGTGACATCGCACAATCCCTCACGCCTCTTGCACCAGCCTACGGCTCCAGGCGCTTTTGTCCTCGAGCGGCAGTTGAAAGGAAACGCCAAATTATATTGAACCATGTCCAGTTTCGGGTAGAGATGAAGAATTAATATACGCAGCCGCAGAAATCATCCAACGCCGGTCCCAAGTTTAAAATCGACTTTTGGTTCTTGACTTATTTGATCTCCAGGAGCTTGACATCGAAAGTCAGCTGGCTGTTGGCAGGAATGCCAGGCAAGCTCTTAGAGCCGTAAGCCAGGTGAGCAGGGATGGTCAGTCGTCGTTCACCGCCGATAGCCATGCCGACAATACCGACGTCCCAGCCCTTAATGACCTGGCCCCTGCCGATCTTGAAAGAGAAGGGCTTGCCCTTCTTGTTGGCTGTAAGAAACATCAAGTTAGCTGCCATGCATACTGTCATACGTATTCATGGACGAAACATACCATCAAACTGCTGTCCGTTCTGGAGCTTTCCAATGTAGCGGACACCAACGGTGTCGCCGTTCTTGACGGTGCGGCCCTTGCCGATTGTGCGGTCATCAACGGTAACACCCTGGACATTCTTGACGCCGAGAGAAGACTTGCCGGCCGGCTTGGTTGATCCAGTGGGGCCCTGCTCGAGGTTCTTGGCGAATTGGACCTTCTTGGCGTCCTTCTTGGCCTCATCCTTCTCCTCAGCGGCAACAGCCTCACCCTTGTTGTTCTTGAGCTTCTTCTGCTGCTTCTTGGAGAGCTTGGACTCGGAAGCCTTGGAGATCAGCTCGTCAAGGCCCTCGGCTTCTTCGGCAGAACGCTTGTTCTTGCCCTTCTTGCTGTCGGTAGGAACCAGCTTGGGGACTTCCTCGTCGGACTCGATCTCGGCGACACGAGGATCCTCAAGATCGTCGAGGTCGTCGCTCTCCTCTTCGCTATCATCCTCACCCAGGCCGTATTCCAGCTCGTCAGGAGACAGGTCGTAGTCATCTTCATCCTCATCTTCGTCTCCCTCCATATCGTCCATGATGTAGTTGCCAGTGAGGTAAACAGTGTGTGTGCCTGAGACAACAAAGAAGACCTTCTCGCCTTGGTTAACAGTGATATCCAGAGGCTGCTGGTAGTTCTATATCGGGCGTTAGTATATCGTACGAATGATAATTAGACAAATATCACCCCAGAATAGAGTAGTCATGGGGCTCTCATAATCCGTCGAACTTACCCGCTCAGTATCGAGAGTGCAGACAACAAAGTTCTCAAGATCGCCTGCCTCGCTGTCGTCGTCCTCGTCCTCCTCATCCTCCTCCTCCTCAGAGTCTTCTTCCTCTTCCACAACAGCCTTGCCCTTGCCCTTGGCGCTGGGGGCAGCCTTCTTGCCCTTCTTGGGCTTGGCCTCAGCATCCTCCATCTCCTCGTCATCAGAGCCAACGCCATTGGCAGCCTCCAGAAGCTTCTTGATGGCAGCGGCCTGCTTCTGCTTCTTAGCCTTGGAGAGGTCGCTAGGGCCACCATTGGCCTCTTCATCCTCGTCATCAGAGCCTCCGAGAAGAGCACTCATGTATTCCTCGCTGAGCTCATCGTCCTCGTCCTCGTTGTACTCGTCCTCGTAGCTGGAGAAAGCGCGCTTGACCAGACGCAGAGTTGACCGAGGGATGGAGGGGGCATTCTTGGAATCATCAACATCGGGCTCCGCATTAGGGTCCAAAGCGGCCATGGTGATACGGAACTGTGATATGAAAACCCAATGATTAGCATTAACCGGACAAAACTAGTCAGTCTTCCATGGCTGCCTTTTCTTTTGGTGGAATCGTTTCGATCAAGCACTGGCATGAGCGCTTCATGTCGCATAAAGCCCAATCTCAATGAGAACACTCTAAAGAACCGGCAGCCATAGGGAAAGAGGGAAGAATCATACAGAAGCAGGGAATTCCAAGTTGGCCGGGATCAAGATCTCCCCAGCCGGGACCTCAAGGCCGTAAACGGGACCAGGAACTGCAGCCATTGTGATGGAAATATTAGATTTCGCTGATTGCTATTACAGTTCTAGTTCAAAAGAGAGGCTGCAAATAAAAGCCAGAAAAGAAACTCTCGAGAGAATGTGGCTCTGCGTGTTCCGGAGTCTGGAGGATCGCGTCGAAGAAAGGAAAAAAAGAGAGGCGAGAAGCTCAAAAAATTTCTTAGTCGTTCTTTTTTTTTTCTTCTCCGTTCAGCCATCTAACGCAGGCGTCTCCACTTGGCGATGCTGGCCAATAGAATGACACGATAAGGCGCTTATCGATATCCGTGTCGCTGGCTCAGCAACCAACCCCGCCCAGGTGGAGCCTCTTATGCATGGCAGCGGATCCCTACGCCATTCTACGTCTTTGTGGAAATCTCGCGTGTTAGATGGATTGCGCATCTTCTATACACGTCTTTTTGGTAAGTTCATTATCCAATTCATCATATCAAATGTAAACATGACAATACGTGCTCAATACGTGTTCAATATTCTCACTACACAAAGATCTAATACTGACTCAACTTGGGCATAAGTCTTCTATTCCGCGCCAGTTAGCGATGAGATCACTTTCCGCATTCTATGTGAGTCTCGTGTGCACCGTGCAACTCCTTTAAGCAGCTTTGGAAGCTACCAATTCGCTACTCTACTGGTTTGCTATTACATTTGTCTTGGAGAAGTACTATATCAAGTTATACGAAATAGCAGAGCAGTTCTACGCGGCCCTTTCCACAACTCCACTCTTGAGCCCTTGAGCAGAAAGAGTATCCAAACATATAGAGCTCCCAAGATACAATGTTTGTAAGTTACAATCAATTAGTTGAAAGACTTCAGAGCCGCATTAGAGCATATCTCGCGTATCCAGGCACCGTCGTTGATTGATTGGCTGAGATGTTAGATTCGCATTTGTTTCGTCGTCAGACTCACAGGCCCCACTAATCTCCAATTCTGCAGGTATTGGCGGATGCAGCAACTCGGAAACGATGTACAAGTGGCATGATCCAAGTCAAAAGAGACGTTTTTGCACTCCAAAGGTTGACCAACTAAAAATTTGAACAGAACAGGGGAAATCTCATGATTCAAGAAGCACATGTAAATGAAAGATGATAACATTCGCTTATTGGGTCTCATTCTTAGTGTCTGGCTTTTATTCTAGGGTATTAACCGTATTAACCATCTGTTCAAGTACGATATATGCCATGTTGGATCTTTTTTCAAGCAGATATAAGGCTCAGTTGTTAAATTATGTAGATTATCACTATTTTCTTTCCCTCATGTAAAAATACGAGGCCGTGTTGGCGCATATACTCCCATTGAACTCCACGCTTCTTCTTTCGCGGTCATTCCATAACCTGTAAACAAGTCAATCTATCAGTGAATTTGACGAAACATTGCTTGCATATTTATAAAGAATTCCCCCAAGACTGACGCATAACGCAAATGCCAGGAAATCAATCCATCAAAATGTCATTATAAAATGCTCAAACGACATCTTCAACGGTCACAGACTTGGCTCGCTGTCGTACAGCTTTCTTGCTAACAGCGTATTCCAGGTCGGCCGTCCAAAAGTGCGATATTTCCGCCTGGGCGCACGGCAAGGTGCCATATAAAAGAGCAGCCACGGGTACCAGAAAATAATCGATGCAATTCTGCTTCAGAGAGCGATGCGAAAAGCACATGCCATCGGCCAACCCAGCTTGGATCATGTCCCTCTCGCGAGCCTGCACACAAACTCGGTGGTAGCTCTCGTAGATGAGCATATAGACGGCAATCTCCATGAATCCAAGGGGCCGAAGAACGTTGCAAGCCGAAAAGACCCAGGATAGATTGTTGGGATCTTCGCCACCTTTCGTAACAAATGTGTACAGAGCAGATGCGACTACTAGGATCATCATGTGAAGAGGGAGAAAGTGTGCTTCGAACAGACGGTGAGCCATGTAGAAAATGTGTTCCCAGTGAGGCTCCTTCAGCGTGTCTCTCGTGATATCGGAGAAGACGTCATTCTCGGCTGCAAGTTCGGAGCCTGCCTCAAGCTGAGCCTCGGGGAAATACCCATCAAGGCTGTCGCCACGGCAAGTCTTGTGCAAGGGACGGAAAGCTCTGGAGGTGTACTTCCTGTCTTTCCACATCTCAGAAGCCTTACGTATCGCGAATCCGCTGTCCAAGGCTCCCCACATGTGTCGAATTGCCTGCTTATAACGGGCCTTGACGTCCAAGAGAGCGCCTCGAATGCCGCCTTTCCCACCTCCAGACACGTTGGTCTGGCTAACGGGGCTGAGCACTGTGCGGCAGGTAAGATGGCCGTTCAGAGCGAAGAAGCATTTGATAAACATGTGTAAATCTTCTCCAATGGCATCCGAGTCACAGTCCCAACCGCCGACGCGATCAACAAGCTGAAGAGGCAGGGAGTATACAGATGTGGGAGGGGCAATGACAGAGCTGCTGTACAGGCCAGACATTCCGGCGGCGCACCAGAGAATATCGGCAACGCGAACAAAGGCATTGACGTTGTGGGCATTTCGGTCGAAGATTATAGGGGCGGCATACAGAGTGGTGGAAGCAGTTTCTGGATGGACAGTATGCATGTTGGAGATTTGGGCAAAGTATCGCGGTGAAAGGTGGCTATCAGCTATAAATATGATTAGTACAAGCATGCCGATGTATAAAACAAGTGTTGATATTGTATAGTTATAACCTACCATCAATTCCGGTAACAATGACATTTTTGCGAGCAGACATTGTATAGTTGGAACTGAGCTTGCGCGCCGCCCACGCTATGTTGCTGCCCTTTCCAGCAGCTTCGCCAGGAATATCTGCCGGATGTAGCGTATAATCGATGGATCGAAACTTTCTGATATAACGCTGGACGAGGCTCAAAGCCTTTGATTCGCCGCCAGCCTCTCGTAGTTCCATACCAAGGTAGACCTTGAAGCAGTGCATGGCCAATTAGCATTTCGTTTACGCCGCCAGTCATGCCTCACAACGACTCTACGCGCAGCGACAAGTGAGTGACTAAAAAGTCTGTTTCAACTTACATCGTAGCAAATGTGAGCTTGAGGGTGAGAAGCTAAGACGTCCAGAGTCTCTCTGAGAGTTTCCACTTCTTCTTTGTAGTTGGGGATGACGATGGCGTGGATGATAGGGCCGCTCTGGATGCCATCTTTGCCTTCGGTGGAAAGTTCGGATTCAGAATCAGTGAGCTCGCTTGCCGTCGAAAACACATTGTCGCTGTCGCTAGAAGATAAAGTCTCGGAGCTGGTAATGGAAGACGCAGAACTTTGGCGGCGAAGGCCCGCGGCTTTGTAGCTTTGAACGGCTCTGCTTTGCGCAGATTGTCTAAGTGACTTTGTAATGCTCCAAATGGACCAGCAAGCTCGAATAGGGAACAGCGCAACCATGAAATGAATCAGGAGGCAATAGTAGGCGAAGACAAAAGTCCATATACCAGCACCAGCGGCGGTGATTTTGGAAGAATGGCTTCCATCTTTGGCACTTGCACCTCTGTATAGGATGAATCCGTAGTTTTCAACGACTGACTCTCGAGATATAACATAGTACGAAAGGCCGACCAATGCCAACATGCTCAAGCCGCCTGCGCAGCGGGAGCACCAGGTCAAGAAGCCCATAGTTTCTGCAGCTGGTTATTAAGCAAGAGAAGAAGAAGAGAAGAGAGCCGGATATATACAAAAGGAGACCGAAAGAATAGCCCCAGAGAGTTGAAGCTTCAAAGAGGCAGCATACAACCAAGAAGCTTTCACAAACGCCAGATCCAAGGATGGGAAAAACGAATAGGGAGAAAAATTGAAGAAAGAGACGGAATAAAAAGAAAAAAGAGTTATGGAGAGATCAGCCAAAAGGGACCCCGGCTCGAGTCATTATCAGCTGGAAAGTGATGGGCATGGAGACTTGAATCCAGGGTGCGAGTTGGAGGATCCACACCAGGAGCCAGAGCGTTTTATTATGAGATACATGCAAACATGATCCATCGCATGGCCATGACAAGTATTGATCAGGGATAGGGGTTGCCGTTATTCCATCATCACCAGCTACGAGCGCATACCTTTATGGCGATGGCTTCTTTTCTTGCTAGTATCCATGACCAGTCACTAGCAGGCATACAGTATACAAGGTAGGATATGATAGGAGCTAGTTGCGGTCTACGAACACGCGTATGCAAAGAAGCAATCAGATTCGCTGAGATACTGGGCCCCCATACGGACCCCGGACCCTCTTTGTTGTGCTCATGATCCCAAGTTACCTATTTAGTATCAGGCTAGCCATGCACTTGGCTATCTACCGAGTGGTTTGCATTTGCTAAGCTTCTTTCGGAGAGGCATGGCGCAGGGTAGATGATGAAGAATACCTCTACTCCATCTAGGCATCTCATGCTCAGCATCTGCTGCGTTAGTCATATCTGAGAGCCCTGGTATCTTGATCCTTTGCTTCTGGAGAGAGGCTGAGGGCAACGTAACGATGGAGTTGTACAGCCTCCAACAACACGGGATTTGCAACAGTACCCTTGGAAGTGCTCTCAGGAGACGGGAATACTTGTTTGTTCAAATCCCGCACCACTACTCCAGAGCTCAAAACAGTAGTATGTCATTACCCACAGGCTAGAAGCCGCGCCATTGTTATCGTGACTACCCACAATGAGACAAGGTGGGAACTGTGCTGAATGCCGGGAATACGCTCATGCCTGTACAAAATACATGCTCCGTTTCCGTGGTATGAGCAGTGTTGTTCCGGAAATCGGATTTCAATTTTCTGTAAAGCGTAAAGCAGCCATCTTTTTCATGATGGAGAGATGCTAAGCCGCAGCCATGACGTGAGACGATATGTCATTTTGGAAGGATTATGCCGAGATTTGAAGAAGACTCCCCAATACCCAGACAAGAGAAGCTTTTTCGGGATGGTTATACGATTTCCAGGAAACTGCGATGGGAAAGACAGGGAATTCTGAAAGCTTCTATGATCCTAGATATTATGCTTAATACGAAACTACATGAACTCTTCTTATAGTACTTGGGGCAGAATCCCAAGCCAAGAAAGTAGAGTTCTCCTTTTAGCGGTCAAATATGATGTTACTCCAGGGAAACAACCCCCTACCGTCTCCATTTCTTCAACGTTTATCAAGTCCACAGCCATCTCATTCTACAAGCACCAACATGGCCGTTCCTTGAATTCAATGCCCAGACACGGGCTCCTATCTTAATCTCGGCTTTAGCGCCTCTCGCTTGCCAATACTTGTACATACAAACTAGTAACGACGAAGCCTTCTGGACCAACCCAAAGGCCACACGGCCCGGCATGTGAAGCCCAATGGACGACGGCCAGCTTCGAGAGCGGGTCAGCAGCGAGTCGAGCGTTATTCTCTCTTTTCTCTCTCCTGTTTACTAGGGAGCCTAGGCGCGTGAACATCAAATGCGGTTCCCCCCCTGTAGGCCCGCTACGAGATCGGCGCTTTGCAGATTGTCCTATTACAGCGCGCCTTTGACGCATGCCGTGCGAACCCCAGAACAAAGGGCGCTGAAGAATGGCTGATTGCTGAAAAGCCACGAGAATTTCAGGCGCATGACGAGAATGATTATCTTTTTGCATGTATTATTCAATACTAAGTACTGATAGCAGCGATAACTATTTGCCTCAGTATGTGACTTAAAGTAGGTAGCATGCGCTGCTATGAGAAATACAGCTCTCTGGACCCTCACTTTATGCGGGATCGGTCTAAAGCGACTCCATCGTAAAACACTGCCGAGATACGCGTACGGGGCACGTAATACGCAGCGGCGGTTTAGTACCGGCGGCACGACTTTATGAGGAATCCTCTTTCAGCCATCGGAGGATTACCTCAGCGGTTTTGTATCCATTTTGTAGGCATCCATTCAAGCCATTGTAGCTCGTTGGTTAAGCTTCGCAACTCAAAACGAAATGTTAAAGGCTACGCCATCACGGGCATCGGACATTCAAACTCCTTCGGCCAGGTAAACGTCGGTGTCCATCATTGCGTGGCTACCGCGACTTGCGTGGAACCATTTGCCTGCGCATCAGTTTCAGCCTCCCTGAACGGGCCCAGTAAAGCTGTTAATCCTACCCACTCTGGTGACATTTCTCCTTTAGAGTTGCGAGTCAATATCCGTCAAAGATTCAAGCAATTTGACGAGCATATCGAAAACCTAGAACAGTTGTTGGTCAGCTTTGTGTTACGGGCATTTTTGCCATTGTCAAAGGGTAGATTATCTTATACGCGAGAATTCGCGACGTCTCACCGACATAAGGTAGTAGAGCTTCAAAGGCTTTTGAGTAGCATGGCCTTGGGGGAGATTAAAAATGCTGTGCAATGGTCAATGCCGCAGCCTGCGATTGTACCTAGGTAATATGGATCCTTTTTAAGTGGCAAGGTCTCAGGGAAGGTTAAAAATGCTGTGAAGGTGGAGAGACTCAATTGCAGCCAGCTGCTTACCCATACAAGCGCAAAGGTAGCTGAGAATTTACCACTACTCCTACTATTCACCCCCAAAAACTTGCACAAGTTCTTCGATCATCAAGTGATTGTTTCTGTAGTAAGTCTGAAAGATTTCCCCTCTCCCTGGTTTTTCCATTTTGGAATTTTGAAAAGCGCACCTTTCAACCAAGTACATCATTTAAACCATGCGCCAGAGCACTTGAATGATCACAAACTAAGAGACAAGTTGCATATTGTTACGAGGAAAGAAAAAAATCGTAAGGGACATGCTATGATGAGAATTGAAATACCATGACAGTTGCAGTGCGTTACACGACTTCATCATGAGATGTAAGTTTTAGAAATGCGTGCGACCTCAGGAATCAATGTATCTCAGTGATATAATAGAATTACAAATAACATATGTCTAAAGAGGCCATGTATTATGAGCAAATAGTAAACAGAAGTTGTTTGCACAAGTTCATCTTGCATTCGGAAGGATTCAAGGTTAACTTTTCCCAGCACATAGCCACGATGTTAGCGAGGATTTACAGGGGCACTCCCGCCGCCTTCGACATTCTTAGGCTCTGCCAAGTCCATTTTGGCCAAGCCAGACAGCACTTGCTTCTCCATCCAATTGCAGCGCGCGATAAGGGCAGTTACCCCGCTTTAATATTTTTTTGCCAGCCCAATCTTCGCAATCAGTTTCGAGGCTCGAGTGCGCAGAATCATACACTTCTAACATACAGGAAGCGAAGGGAGCCGTCTGCTCTCCCACAAAGTCAACACAATGGGGCTGCTTGCTGAGTCAAGGACGTAAGCTATTTGCGGACGGAGTGATTGTTGGAAACAGTCTCTAATATCAATTCAGGCGCCGGAAAATCCAGCACGATCCCAACAACACAAGATGGACTCGCGACACCACCACGTTCGGCCAGAAGATGCTGAGGTCGCAAGGCTGGGAACCCGGCCAATTCTTGGGAGCCAAAGACTCAGCACACTCTGAGTTCCACACCGCTGCGAATGCGTCGTACATCCGAGTCTCGCTCAAAGATGACATGAAGGGTCTCGGCTATAGCAAGTCCAAGGAGGACGAAGTCACCGGTCTCGACGTCTTCTCCGACCTACTGAGCCGTCTGAATGGAAAATCCGAAGCTGAAGTGGAAGAGAAGCAGCAAGCCCGACTTCAGGTCAAGATGCACGCCTATGTCGAACAGAAATGGGGTCCAATGAGATTCGTGCGAGGAGGCCTGCTGGTTGGCGATGTCATGGAAGAAGAGAGTGACAAGTCAAAAGACAATTCGGATGAATCAGAGAGTTCTTCTGAAACAGACAACAAGAAGTCCAAATCTAAGAAGAGAAAGGCTGAATCTCTGAAAGACGATGATGAGCAGTCAGAAGATGAGGAAGACGAGAAGAAGAAGAAGAAGAAGCAGCGAAAGGAAGAGCGAAAGGCTAAGAAGCTGGCAAAATCTGAGTCTGCCGAATCCAGTGACTCAGAAAAGGCCAAGAAGAAGGAGAAAAAGAGGGAGAAGAGGGAAAAGAAGGAGAAGAAGGAAAAGAAGAAGTCGAAGAAAGACAAGGCTCTAGCTGAAAAGGAGACCAGTGAAGACGCTGCAGAATCAGACGACACAGTGGAGAACCCATCATCGTCAAATAGCAGCTCAGAGAAAGTAAAGAGCTCCAAAAAGGACAAAAAGGAGAAGAAGGAGAAGAAAGAAAAGAAGGACAAGGACAAGAAGAAAAAGAAGAAGAAGGATGCAGACACATCCGACACAGAGATGCCCGATGCAGCTCCCTCAGTATCGCGTTCTGGGACGGCTACTCCGATAAGCACAGGCACATCAACACCATTGAGCCGCAACTTTTCCAGAGCACGATTCATTGCCCAGAAGCGAGCTGCTTTCGCGGATACCCAAGCATTAAAACAGGTACTTACACTTGTTGTCTATTCTTCTCCGAACGACCAATTTGCTAACAAAAAAATAGATCTTCATGGTCAAGGCATAGAAAAATGATATTTCTAAGCGCGGCGTTGATTTAATAAAAGTCCTTTTGCAAATTCATTCTCGACTGCTCAGAGGGCTTAGATCGGAATTCTTTTACAAAGGCTTAGACTAGAAGATTCTGGTATAATTGCGCATGGAGCATTGTTGGCGTTGTATATACGGATGGGAGGTTGTCAATTCGAGACTTTTGCATGTAGCTTTTGTACTTTATGTTGAAAATGAACTTGACTTTGAACAATAGCATTTGAAAAAGCACATGGAAGATCAGTGAGACGATATCAAGATCCATTTGGTGATGTAAACAATATACCCAAGACTATTGTATACTTTTGCTTTGATTGACAATTCACTTGAACTAACATGCTTTTATATAATTATGCAATTCTCCTTTTCTTTTCTTTTTCTTTTTTGCAAATTTATATCTGAATACTCCCTTGTATTGATTGGCCTCTGACAGATTGCTCTTGATACACCAGCGACTAGTGGCTGCTGTTTTGCGCTATCCCAAATTTGTCCACCGCCTACCCTTCCTAGCCACAGAAAATCAATCCGCCGGCAGAAAACAATAATTTTCCTCCAACTCCAAGCAAACACCAAAAAACTTGCGATCAAAAAGTTCACAATATTACTTATACCCCTAGATCCTTTTTGTTGCCACCCTTCTACCAAAATCAAAATAGGAAACTATTTCAATTATCAAAAACAAACGAAGAAGAGAGAGCCAAGCAGATAAAAAAAAAGGAAAAATGTCGGGCTCCTCGCCTGAATTCCTTCGCTTCACCGGCCACCGGTCCTTCGCCCGGCGCCTCACCATCTCGACCCTCACCGGCCGTCCCATCCACATCACCAAAATCCGAAGCTCCTCGCCCACGAACCCCGGCCTCGCGCCCCATGAGGTCTCCTTCCTGCGCCTCCTCGAGGCCGTCACCAACGGCAGCTCCATGCAAATCTCGTACAGTGGCACCACAATCACATACCACCCGGGCCTCATCACGGGCACAATCGCCGGCCTGGGCGCCGCCGAGGGCGACGTCATCGAGCACAGCATCCCCGTCACCTGCACGAGGGGCATCACCTACTTCCTGCTGCCGCTGTGTCTGCTGGCGCCCTTTTCAAAGGCGCACATGAATGTGCGGTTTTCCGGCCCCGGCGTCATCACATCCTCCACTGAGACTGGCGACGTCTCGGTCGACACGTTTCGTACTGCTATCCTCCCCCTCTTTGGACTGTTCGGCATCCCTCCCGCACGAATTGAGCTCCGAGTCCTGCAGCGCTCCTGCGCCGGTCCTGGCGGCAAAGGCGGCGGCGGCATCGTCGAGCTCCGCTTCGCCAGCCAAGTCCGCTTGCCCAAGACGCTGCATCTCAACCGAAGTCCCGGCCGAGTAAGGAAGATACGAGGAGTTGCTTACTGCACTGGTGTGTCTGCCTCAAATAACGCTCGCATGATACATTCCGCCCGCGAGATCCTAAACCCGTTCGTCACGGACATCCACATCGCGGCACAGTACGATCAGGCTCCATTGGTGCCTACAGGAGATAAAGCAGGTAGCAAGCGAAGACTGGGCATTGGATATGGCCTGAGTCTGGTGGCAGAATCCAGCTCTGTGGGTGTCATATACTCTGCAGATGTCGTCGTGTTGCCTTCTGGTGGAGAGGTCCCGGAAGATATTGGAAAGAGATGCGCCTACCAGCTGCTGGAGACCATCGCAAAGGGCGGCTGCGTGACTCCTGTGTCAGCAGGCTCTGTGCTTACGCTGATGGCTATGGGTTCCGAAGATGTTGGCAGATTAAGAATTGGCAGAGATATCCTTGGTACTGAGGAATTGGTTGAGCTTGCAAGAGATCTAAAGACGTTTGGCGCAAGTAGCTGGGGGCTGCGAGACGTTGAGGAAGACGATAGCGGGGATATTATCGTTTCCGTCAAGGGCACCGGTGTCGGTAATGTGGGAAGGAAAGTCGCCTAAGCTAAATAAATTAATCAATAGGAAAAGATGCCATGTCTCCTTATCTTGCTTTGGCATTTGGCGAAAATTACAGCGAAATATAGCAAGTCGGTGGAGGCTTTGGTTTGATAAAAGTTGAATTACCCGTTCCGTAGGTATATATTAATATGTACATACATGCCCTAGTTGCTAGGGCGAGTTATTTGATTCCGAAGAGTAGCGCCTCGACGCCGAGTCCGTATCCTCGCCATAGTTGCCCGATAACCAATAGCCTGGAGAGACAAGGCAGTTGAGCCTCCAGTCTTCATCAAGGCGGTTTTCATTGTATGAATGACATGATATTCGTTAAGCACGGCGTTGCCAGAGCTCATGATATCGGATAAATGTGTTCTCAGTGATTCGTCGTTCGAGTTGTCCCCGGTAACGGCCTGTAGCTGCTCGGAGCGGTCGTAGCGTTCATCTGCGCCTTCGCCATTCCCTTCGCCATTGCCCTGTCTATCAAGCTGCTGCAGCTCAATCTCGTCCGTCTCGTTAACCGTCACACCCGAGTCATGCCGTGAAACTCCTCGCTCTTCTGCGTCTAGATCTTCAGGGGAGCGTCCGGGGATGGGCTCAAGAACTCGATTGGAAAGTGGGCGGAATGTCTTGAGTGCAACTCGTAAGCCCTCTCGTTGATTGTGTATCGAAAGCATCAGCGACTGGATGGCAAGGATGATCAAATCAAACAATAGATAGTATAATCTATAGCTGGAAGGCATTTGCCCGACGAAATCGATAATCAACCCCCCGTGTTGATATCCTCGATGATACTCAGGCCCCAGAGGAAGTGAATCAAAGAGATGCGACAGCATGCATAGTATATTAGGCACTAGTATCACAAGGACGTGTATATGAGTGGCCGGCATGAGCAGAGCGAAGGATTCGTCTTTAGGGGAGAGATACATGTATTGCGGTATGGCGCGCAGGATGAACTTGAGCATCGAGCATCTATATCACAGGAGCCGGATTAGTGTGCGGGTTCCTCCTAAACGAAGCCAATGAGGGCCATTTGGGGACAGCGAGAGGGAGGAAAGTTATGTCAACGCACTCCATATAATACATAGAGCTCAGTTCGGCAAATATGACAAGATCAAGTGTCTTGAGCAAATGTGTGAGAAACCCAAGCTTCTTGGCTAGTCCTGGATTCTGCTTCTTCTTGCTCCTCCTCTTATGCTGCCGGCCATTGCTAGACCTCGAGCGCTGCCGTGACCGAGAACGGCCGTGGGTGCCTGCTTCCGCATCGTTGGTGTTGTTGTTGGGTCCGATGGCAGGTGGTGAGAGCCGGTCGGGAATCCGCGCGGAAGACCTAGGCACGGCATCATTGTTCATAGTCGCCTATCATCATCCGGCTCAACTGAGGGGCTTGCTCTGCATCGAAGCAGGCCCAGAGATGGCTCGAGCTTGGGAGAAGCAGCAGCCAAGCAGTCTCTATCGTCGTCAGGGTCACAGGATTTGTGGAGCGCGGGCGTGACAAGGTTGAAGGTTGGCAGATAGCTAACAAGTCTGGCCAGCGGCAAGCAGTGTGTGATGGTCGCGCCTATTGAGCACTTCGGCGGATGGTGGAGTCATGGACAGGCAGCTTATTCGTCACACAAGGGGTTCCTGGTGGCTTATCTCAACCAACTGCTCAGGATCAACACTAAATCCGGCGGCCAGCCTGCGGGACTTTCGGTACGTACTCCGTTGCGGACGGCAGGCCCTCCCCCGCAAAACAGGGTCTCGCATGCCCCACGCAGCTCCATGCCGACCGGTACATGTACATTGGCAGCGGCGGATGACAACACCAGGAATGATGGACTTTGTACTCGCCCGAGCTGGCAGCCCTCGACGTCACAGAACGATGACGCTATGGCCGAACGCGCCACAGAAGAGGAGTTGGGCAGGGGAACGATGCCGATTGCAAACACATGGCGAGATGCCCGCCGGGTCGTTGTCTAAGCCAGTATGTGGTTCCACGTTCGCCCGTCGTTCCCCCTCTATAGATGAGACATTGGCTTCCAATCTTGGAGGATTCGGGGCCAATGCAGGCTGCATACTGGGGATTTGTACTAGTACTCACTATTGCAGTATCAAGATGGGGGTATATTGGCCAATTAGCACTGCCTTAGTAGGTGAATACTGTATGCAACTGCCGGCAAAGATGGTCTCGTGCACACACTTGTGCCTTGTATAGACAATATCGAACCATTTGTCGTCCATTTGTCGTGGCTGACTCAACCGCTGCTCGATCTCCGGGATCAGAAACAGGTCTCATTTTGCTTGGGCATCGATCGGCCTCTCCCTCGCTGTAAAATGGGCTGAGTTTGACATGGAACACCGTCCTAGCGCCGATCGAGACTCCCGCCACAAGTCGACATATGGTAGTGTCAATCGAGCTCGACGTGCGTGTGTCATTCTGGTGTGGTGAGCCGGGACTTCCATTGGCCGGTGTCATTGGTTCTCCGGCAAATGGTCAGAAAGCTTGTCCTGGCTGGCGGCTTTCGTTGTCTTTTCTCATGGAGCTACAACTACTTAAGGAGCTTCCCCTCCCGATTGTTCCCCCTCTCATCTCTATCACTGCCTGAATCATACCACCTCATCAAAACTTGCCTTACTGAACGAGTGAATTATCATTCAATTATAGCCACTGGCGCCCACACCACTAGCCATCATGAACAATCCCGAGCAGACCCAGAACCCTACACCAAACCAGAGCACCCGCCGTCGAGTGAGTCTCTCACCCCGCTCACCGCAACCCCACCGAACACACCGCTGACAGTGCCAATTATCTAGAGCTCTGGCTTCATGCCTGCCTTTGAGGGCCTCTCCCAACATCATCAAAATGCAAACAACAGCGCTCGGCGCCAGAGCATGACCGACCAACAATCCAAGCCGGGCATCTTTGGCCAGCTCTTCCACAAGTTAGTTCATCCGAGCCTCCGGCTGCCTATATGTCTAAATCTCGCCTAACTGTACATCGCAATTAGTACGCTTGGGAGGAATGCCAAGTAATAAACTGCAAACCCATTTGTCATATTCCATCCATTTTGTACCTTTCGCATCGACGGATTACTTTCACGTCCTCAAATTCTTGATTGCATTTGCGTATCTTCCCCTCAGGATGCCTCGCGCATCGGAGTTTCATCAATTGTGACAGCCGCGGAGTTAGGCCGGCAGACAGAATGAGCTCAGTGTAAAGATAAATGATAATAAATATTGTTAAGCAAAGACTGCACGCTGTGAGACCGACGCCCGTCTCTACCCCAGAGTCAATGCGGAGATGCATAAGACTCGCGACTAATGCAACGCTACCAAGGGCCAAGGGCCAATATAGCCGTTGAAAAGAGCCTGTACTCAGCGAGACATGCCATTCTATGTATACCGTCTATGAACTCTAAACCGCATAACTGAGACTCTATCGTGTAATGTATTTATCATGTTAGCCATCTAGCCCTACTTAACTCACACAACAAGGTACGAGAATGATCCAGGAAACAGTTGAAGTGGCATCTTGTCTTTGGCTGGCCACTCACCAACAGAAAACTACAGCGTGTGAAAGAGAAGGCCAACGAGGTGTGTAAGTGGAAAACGAGTCGGGTTAACAGCCGAAAGTACTTTGCGATACACTGCGTTGTGCTGGGATGCAAAGTACCTTTCCTGCGACTAGCAATCCTTATCGATAACGACGTGGTGGGCAGCAAATCCACCAGTAGCATAGCAGTCGCAAGAATCTTGACCATCAATCTGGAAAAAAAGTTTCGAAGCGCTCCAACGAGCGAGTGCCGGATGCACCACGCTCTACCGGACTCTCCAAAGTATGTCATGTCGACCGATACTTCGCGACCTTAGATGTCGAAATGACATCGTCTGCCGCTCATGTTTGACTGGCCGCGCAAAGCAGCCGGTGCAGGCTTGGTGGGCTGCTTCATACAGCTCTCAGGCCTCTAGAACAGTGAGCAAGGCAAGACTACGACCCCAATCACGACTCAATGCGGACATCACCCGCCAACCGACTCAGGCCGAACTGGCTGGCTACCTGGAGGGCCTAAAGAGACTGCAGGCCTCGGAAAAGAAGCAAAGCGATGGAGACGACTTTTCTGTCCGATTCTTCGAGCAGGGCGATCGAAGCCGGAAAGAATTGTCCAGTGAGCACGCCTTTGGGGAATCCCTAAGTGGAACTGAAACTGCCGAATTGCGGGACAATCTCTTCAATTTAGGGAGAGGGCTTCGCAACCCAGAAGAGAGAGATGCCTTTGGAGAGGTTCTGAACGAGATGGGGGGCGACTGGGGCAAGGCCAGCTCTGCGGACGACGTTGAGAAACTCATAGCGAAATTGGAAGACTATGCACGGTCGATTGACGATAGGATAAAGGAAGAAAGTACCAATCTTCCGAGGGGAGTGTTGGAGCAGCTTGTTGGGGATGTGCCGGAGCTCTCATTGGAGGAGGGTACATCCTCTGACGGAACTCGAGATTCTATACCGCAAGTCCTGATAAACCCAGACGAGATAACAACCAATCGACGCCGAAAACTTAACAAATTCAATTCTATCCTCACCCGATTCGCTCTCGCGGAGAAAGAATCAGGCTTGAAGCCAAAAGCAGTACAGTCGTTATACAAAGCATATCACTCGACCAGATTAGCCTTGGCTCAAAATTGGAGGGACGTCCCCCCCGCTTTGTGGCAGGTCCTCTGGAGAGCATTTTCGAGTACAAAAGACAGCGCCAATAGCTTATCACGTATTGCCGTTCTGGCCAGAGATATGAGCGATGCCGGGGCCACGCTTGACCCTGCACAACAGGTCCTCGCCATTGAAGCCATTTTTGTCGACGGATGGGAGTCCAAGGCCATGGAGAACTGGAGGCGGTCTATCAGCACGTTGGGAGCCGAAGATTCAGAGACATTTCAGAACTTTTGGGAGCTTGGGGCAAGGATATACTGCCGTGTGGGTGATTTGGGCCAAGCGGAGAGAGCAATAAATAAGCTCCTCAGTCGCAATATGAGCCCACGTATCTTGCTTCCGCTTATCCGGACTTGCTGCAACCAGGGAACCGAAGAAGGCAAACAAAAGGCATGGACTGCCTACCGCCAAATGAGACAGCTTTTGGGCAAGGATATGGGGCTCTCAGACTACGACCAAGTAGTCGCATGTTTCTTGACTGCTCACCAAGTTGAGAATGCCTTGTATGCCTTTGTGGACATGATGAGTGAGGGCCAGATCGATCTGATGAGTCAAAAGTATATGCCTTCGTCCATTGCGAACAAATTCTTCCTGGGCAAATGGCTGAAGCGACTAATCGGCGCTGGCGACTTGGATGGTGCTTTCAGTGTGGTCGAGTTTATGAGAGGAAAGGGCGTGGAGGCGTCACCGATACAACTGAATGGACTTATTGGCGCTTGGCAGCGGTCAGGCAGTGCTGAGAATTTTGAAAAGGCCGATGTCCTGGGATGGCAGATGGTCGGATCTAGACTCAAATTTGTCGCTCTCAGAAAATCTCACGGTGAGGACTCCAGCAGCAATGACGCATCATCACCGGAATCAACCCTGATGAATATGCCACGTGCTACCATCGAGACCTTCTCTCTTCTTGCCGAAAACTATCGCATGCGAAATCTCCATGAACGGTTGGAGACCTTGTGGAATGCCTTCCGTGAAGCGCAGATTAGCCCAGACGCTTTCATGATGAACCAGCTTCTCGAGTCGCTTATTCAGGAGGGCCAGCCCCAAGAAGCACTGGCTCTCTACCACTCTCTCATAGAGAACAGCAAAGTTGTGCCCGATCCATATACGTTCAGCGCGCTTTGGAAGACAGTTGGGGCGAATCGTTATCACATGATAATGGAGCCCGAGACGCAAAGAAAGGAGGCCGAGGCCACACGAGCCATGTTTAAAGAAACCGTCAAGCACAAGGACGTGTTCCAGCCCGATGGCATTGATGGGCAACTGGCTCGCAAAATCCTCCACACTTTCCGCCGCCTTCAAGATAACGCAGGCTTTCTCGTTGCCCTAGTCGTGTTTAAAGAGACGTTCCGATTCCTTCCTCCCGAGACGCTCGTCATGGAAATGGTCCTCGGTACCACCAAGCTCTCCTTGGATACGCCATCTCAACGCAGCAAGCTGATGAGGGCTAAGCGAGGGATTGACGGCGAGCTGCGAGCCTGGGCGGATTCCAACGGGGCGAGCCTAGAAGGCGACGAGGATCGCGGCGCTGCGTTATACGCCTTGTTGCAGAAGAAGTTTTGGCCTGCAAAGGGCAACGAAGAGGACAAACGGGAGATATTTGTGGAGGTGGCGACGCAAATGGGGGCACTTGAGTTGCTAGGATTGAAGAAGAGTGCTAGCAGAGGGTGAGAGTATGTTGTGTATGAATGATAATCTATAGATTGTACATTAGATATATGATGAATGACTGGATAGGCCATCTCCAAAGACAGGCGGGTTACTAGGATATAGACACTCACGAACACAATTTACTGTACCATAACATTTCTATGAATACCTCTTTACGCATAAGAAAGGAGCTTTCTACAACTTGTGAAGTTGATCACATTATTTCAAGCGATGTAATTGGTGCATCACATTAATCTAAATAGTTTCTGCTGGCAATCAATCTATTGTATATTAAAGCTATTCGTCTAAGATACCCATGGAACCCACCACCGAAATCCTCCTTCTCCTGCCTTGACTTTCCGGAACTCCAACGCTATGCAAAAATAATAGTGAAAGAGGAAAATAAGTGAAGCAGTATTTGCTTAATCTTTTTTTTTCTTCTCTCGTCTCACGTCTCCTGTTCATCTTAATGCCCCCCCTTCATGTCGAAAATCCGAACCCAGCTTTCATTAAGTAGGTCAAATCACCCGTGGAGCACGATAGTTACTCTCCTTCCTCGATTTTCCGTGCTTGCACTTTGCCAGCGGCGCTGCTGCTACATGGACAGTATGATGTCTCGACTCCTACGTCAAGTCCATATCTTCGATGCCGTCGTCGCCCAGCCTATCACCAACTGAACTGAGACCTGAACTGGAAGCCCTTCTCATTTCTACAGTCCCAGGCTCGTCCCCGTTTTGTTGCGGCTGCTGCTTCTCGTCCCCATCTTCTTGATTTTCTATCGACTCTCGTGGTGTTGGTAATTCGGGAGCTTGCTGAGATATCCATTCGCCTATGCTGGTTATAGAGCCGCCTTCTACGAGGATCTCGTTGCCGTCTGTGTTTTTCCCAAAGATTGTGCCCTGCCATTTGGCATCGTCGCCGGTTTTGCTGTGCTTCTTTTTAAGAGCTGAAAAGCATGATATGTTAGCCAAATGTTTAAAAAGGGAAGACACGCTCATGTTCATTTATTTTGTTATTCCCCTCATCGTGTGCTTGTTTTTTTCTCTTACCTGCCAGATAGTCGGTAGCATCCGATTCAGTATCTCCGCTACCCAGCTCCATCATCTCCTTCATGCGCGTCCCAGAGAACCACTCTATAAACTCTTCCACCCCTCTTAGATCTTCTTCCCCCTTCCACAGTTGTTCGGTTTCAGTCCTCTCTGGCAGCAGGGCTCCGGCCTCTTGCAGTGCCATCCGGACGTCCACAATATCGTAGTCCCCCGCATCGCCGTGGTTGTTCATGGCATTTCTCGCCGTTTTTTCGCACAAAAGTGCCAAATATCGTGCCGCGATATCGGTCAGCGTATCGAGTACCGCTGGGCGCGTGCTGTGGTAGCCCGTCGCGCGAAGAACTTGCAGGATCGAGGGCCGCAAGAAAGCGTGGAACATCGAGGGCGGACGGGCCATCGCGAGGCGTTAAAGAGGCCTGAGGCTTGTGGATGTGTTGATAAAAAAGAATAAATAGCAGCAAGAGGTGCAGAACAAAGTTGGGTAGCAGTAATTGCTGTGAGAAAGCTGCTACAAAAGTGTTTTCTGAGGCTGTCGCATATGCTCTCTTGGACCTCATGGACTCTGCCGTACTGAGTAGCTCGCACAGCGCATATTCGCCTCTAATTTCGTTGATGCGCGATCTTATCCAGGGTATCGAGAGGAGACGGAGCTTGGTTGTGGCGGCTGGGCTGCAGATTTTATAGCGTGTTGGGCAGCTGCGTAAAGTGAAGCTTGTGTCGTGTGTAAAGAGAGAGATTCAGATTAAGCTCAGAGTTCTGTCTAGCAGAGAATCAACACAGTGCTATTACACAATGCGTATCTCGCACTGTGAATTCTTTCAATATACGGGTCTAGCATCAATTTAACATCTGCGCATGTCAAAATTTGAAGAGTGGAGTTCATGCAAGAATATATGAAGTCGATTAAATCGAAAGATGCATATCAGAAGAGCATTTTGGTTACAGCTTTGTGTGTATGCTATCAAATCAGAAGAAGAAGGAAAAAAGCGTCCCATCCAGTTATGCAATTTGTCAAACGCAAGATATAGATAGCCAACAAGCAAAATAGAGCCTCTTCCAAAGGGTCATATGTTTTACAAACATTTCCTACTCGTCCAAATCCAGTGCGAGAGCGAATATACCAAAGAAAAGTGCAAAATGATTATTCTTGCTCAGAGATCCCGCTGTACTTGTTGATCCAGTCCAGCACCTCTCTATGCCAAACCAGCGAGTTCTCTGGCTTGAGTACCCACTTGCCACCTGTTAGCATCTGAATTTACTTCTTGATGTTGAATACGTAGCTTGTTTAGACTCACATGATGCTCATCAGGGAACATGACAAACTTGCTAGGCACGCCGCGAGCTTGAAGGACGTTGAACATTGCCAAACCCTCAGAGATTGGCAGACGATAATCAAGCTCGTTGTGGATGACCTATGAACAAATGATGTTAGTTGCTGGTCATGAAAGCGTGATGTAGCTTGAATTCAGCCTACCAGCTGTGGTGTGGCCCAGTTGCCAGTGTACTTAGCCGGATCCCACTTCTCATAACCTTCACGGTTATCCCAGAGAGTACCGCCAAAGTCATGTTCGGGGAAGAATAGCTCTTCTGTAGACCACTGGCTGAGAGTTGAAAAGACACCGTCATGGCATACAAGCGCCTTGAATTTCCGCCCCAGATCGTGGCCCTGGATCCAGTCTGAAACAAATTAGCTGGTCTCTCTCGCTTTCACAAATGTCAGTACAACTTACTCATCATGTAGCCACCATACGATGCGCCGAGAGCAACTGCCCTATCTGTATCTATGTAGCTCATTTCTTTCTCGATATACTCGAAACATTTGACCAGGTCCACGTAGGGATCACCACCCCAGTTATTTTGAATGGCATCGGTGTGATCTTGGCCATAGCCTGTGCTTCCAGTCGGATTGGGGCTCACAACAACGTAGCCTTGCTCAGCAAAGATGGCAGGGTTCCACCGAGTACTCCAATCATCTCCCCAGGCCCCCTGTGGTCCACCGTGTACCAAGAAAGCCAAGGGGTACTTTTTAGAAGGGTCAAACGTTGAGGGGAGAGTGACCAAAGCATGAACCTTATAACCCTTGGAGCCCTCGTACCAGATCTCTTGACACTGTGATCTAGTCAAAGAGAAAGCTCGACCTTGTTTGGTTGTAGAGGAGACAACGGTGACCGATCTAGTAGCAGGGTCGAGTATCGAATAGTTGGAACTTTCGACTCGTGATCTCGTTGTTATCAGAAGCGATGAGCTGTCGCCGAGAACCTTTGCCTCAGCCACAGATCCGTCTTCGTGAATAGGGGCGGGCAGAGATTTGGCTTCCAACGGCGATGATGGCAGTTTCCACAGGACAACACGAGCATGCTTTTCGGCCGCAACGTACAGTTCCTTGTTGTCATGGCTCCACACGATCCAGTCGGGCTTGAGATCCCAGCCACCCTTGTCATCGTCGGTCTCGTAAAACTCTTGGACATTGCTCAGATCCGTCACGTCTGGAATCAACAACAGTCTCGTCTTATCGGCCTCGTACTGCTGAGACTTCATGCGAAGAAAGGCAACTTGTTTACCGTCATTAGAGAATGCGGGCGAGCTGGAGTATCCGAGCAGTCTTCCCGTCTTGACAATCTGGGGAACAGTCGGTTTATCCAAGAACGAACTCAGAGGAACGAAATAAAGGTCAGTCTTGGTGTGTCTCGCGTGATTCAGGTCTGGGTCCTTGGCAACAAATACAATGCCAGTCGAAGAGATGTCAAAATCACCGGCACCGCCAAAGGGGGGCACGGGAGAGTTCAATCGGGTGCCCGCAAGCAAATTGGTGAGCGCAGAGTTTCCAAGAGTCCATTTCCCGTCTACCTTCTGCAACTGACCATACCAAAGCGAATTCTTGTTCTCAGTGTTCCAGGAATCCCAATGGCGCACAAAAAGGGAATCGTAGATCTTGGCCGAAGTATGCGACTTTGGTTCCGCAGATGGATTGTAAAGCTGCCCGTCAGGAGTCGTCAGAGCTGCACAGCAGAAAGCCACTTTGTCTGCTGATAGAGGCTTGGCTTTGACGCTAGAAATGCTTCCAGCGAAGCGGTGGATGGTGTTTGTTCTACATATAAAGTGTCAGCTTCTTCATAAAGAAACTTCATTCTCAATGCTGAACCGCTGGGGAATCCGCTTACTCATTTGCGTCGAGGACATGTTGCGCCACCAGCGCCGAGGCACCGTTATCGAGGCCCTTGACATAGGCAACTTCCTTTTCGCTGATCCAGATAGGCTCGCTGGCCGCGGAGTCTTCGGAAACCAGGTGCGATGTTCCTTCTTTGATGTTGAGCACTCGGATCTGCGCAGTTTTGGAGTGGGTGTCGAACGAGTACGTCGAGACCTAAGAAGTGACGCCGTCTTAGTTGGGTTCCCTGCAGTCCATCCAATGCGAGCCAGCTCTAGTTCTTGGGTGCTTAAGAGCGCAATCTGAATTGGCCCTTGCTGTAGAAGAAAATCGTCTCCTCCCCAAGACTGCAGAGCTTTTTCAACATCGCATCCTCACTTACCGTGTATAAGACAAGCTCGCCCGTCGAATTGGGCACGCCGGGCGACCGCCGCGGCGCCGAGAGGAGAACCTCTGGGGTAAACTTTGCGGCCTGAATTGTCATCATCAAGGGCTGCTCAATTAACGTGCGAATACTATGAGTTGAGGACAGAAGGAGGAGGAGAAAAGGAAGAAGCAGCAGCCCAATATATTATTGGAGGAGAAGACCCCAACCAGCCCTGGATAAGAGGCCTGTCCAATAGTACGTGTTATCTCTGTGAGGACCCCGATGGCCTGGGAAGCCGCTATAAAGCTACTAGGACCCCGCATCTGCAACCCCGCACTACCAGCGTGTGCTGTTAGACCCAGCTGCTCCAACGCACTATTACTTGCACTGCTTTATTACTTCAAGTTTACCTAGATTGATACCTATCCGTATATGTACTGTTGTTATTCCTTCGACCTGACCGTCTAGTTATGTTGCCTCTCGTGTGTTTGCTTGTACTGCATATACAACACAACACCCTGAGGCTCCTATCCCTGTTTATGTGTTCTCAGTTGAGGTTCCTTTATCCTCGTATCTCTCCCCTCGTCTGCCTACCTAGGTATGTAAGCTGGCCCAGTATATAAAGCTCTTGCTATTATTAATTGGATATTAGCCTAGGAACTTTTGCCGTTGCTATAACCACTTTTATGTAATTTATTCACTGGATATTGATAACCTCGCGTCGAGCTCCGAAACTTTTGTCTTTTCATTAATAATTCGTCCAGAGCAAAGATAAGTAAAGAAGCAGCACTAGGAAAGGTCGTCGAGCAGCGCTGGCGCCGCAGCAACGCTACTAGCATCTTTTTGGATATTTGTACGCAGACAGTAGTGTGATGCCGCATTGAATTCCCCCTATACTGCTAATCTAGGTCTATTAGATCTATTAAATATATCTACTCTATTAAATCTACCTATTTACTCTATTAGCTTTAAACACGTTATGAGACCCATCTACTTCACTAAATCTATCTACTCTATTCAATCTACCTATTCACTCCATCGGCTATTCACTATCTGCGTTATCTGCACTATCAAGTATACCTACTCTATCGGCTCTATTCACTCCATCTTCACTTTACATTCGTTTTAGTCTATTCTATTGCCCCACATTTCTCTAAGATCATCTTCTATTAACTCGCTTCTCTTCTATTTTGCCAGTCCACCCACCTTTGCTCATTTTCAACTTCAGCCAGCCATCTCAATGCAAACATCTGGCGTATCACCTCAAGGCTCAAACCCATATGGTATCGTATGGCCAGATACCATTATATGAGGCTTCGCTACTAGCATATCGTGCTCAATATCATAGCTTCCGCGGCAGCCTCAGAAGAAGGCCGTCATGAAACCTCAGTAATCAAAATTATGCAAGAAAGAGTTCTCTTTGACCCCAGGGTCAACCAATTCGGCATCCGGCAACTTTCTCAAAAGGTCATGAGGCGGGAGTAGCACAGGTCGCTTCACTTACCCTCAGCAAAGTATGACCCGAGCTAATAGAGAAAGTGGTGGGATCAACTTCATTGTCTATCAAGAAGGCCTTCTTATTACATATGACTGGCGTAACGCCCACATCCTATACACTAACCTTGGGGGAATTTGACTACAATGTTGATCAAGTTCCATGTTAAAAACCTTGCGGTAATCCGTGACAGACAGGCGCCAACCGCGACTGAACAAGCGAGGCTAAACCACCGCATAAATACCGAGCCTACTGTGGGCGTTGAGCATGTGCTGAAGCTATCTATTACTCTTTGACAATAATTGCGGGTTGGCCCACATCTTCTTGCGGACCTGCAGAGATGGCTTTGTTAACTTGCCTTCTGAGAGGTTTGACTAGCTTCTTTGGTTAACCGCTACAACGATTTTTGCTAGGATTCTGGATTTATGCCACCAATATGTCCATCAGCTTGCCTTGGTACCCAATTTCCGAGGCAGAAACTTTTATTGTGAGAACTAACATGATGAGCACTGGAGTGAACCTGCATTCGCCTACATGTTACTTGCTCTCATCACAGTCTAAGAGCAAAGCGTTGACGGTCCAGTGACCTACTGTATCAACTTAACGGGGATCAGGGCACAGATCGCAAGCCTGTGCAACTAATCAACAGATTTACGGCAGATTGAATAGACTCGGAAAGACATGCAAGGTTCACTAGCAAAACCCAAGGTTAAGAATTCATTTCATGATCATCAACAGCGAGAAGTGGCCACAACAGCTGTCCACGGAGTGCAGTTTGCCAATATGGCTTACTGGCTCTTTACCAGAGATTGCCATCTTCGAGATGATACGATCATATTTTCATCACCCATTTAACAGATACGACGGGCTGGGATGAATGGGGTAATAAGACGAATTATTACTCAGGCGTGATAACGAAAGAATTGGGCTTACTTCTATCCATTGTGGCCAAGGCTATCATGAGTGGAAGCCCCCGCAGTTTCCATACCAGAAACAGCGACATCTTGACGAAGACGATCCTCGACATGTCAAAAACTATGATTATCGAGATGGCAGAGAAATGGATCGGTATGAGTGAGGGTCAGTTGCGGGATAAGTTCAAAGGCAATTGAAAGATATATCCACGAAGTGGAAGTCAAATGTGAAAAGATGGAGGAAGATAGGCTACTCCAGGCCCAGGTGGAAGCGCGTCGGAAGCCACTTCATGGATCTGGAGAGTTCATTAGATTTAGAGATGATGTCTTACTGCTACTTTTACTATATCTACTATATCTACTATATCTACTATATCTACTATATCTACTATATCTACTATATCTACTATATCTACTATATCTACTATATTAAAATCTAGATTTAGTAAACAGCCATGGCATTTATTCTTAATTAATCAGGGATATTACTCCTAGATATCCATATTGATCTGATAACGTCTACATTACTCCCATGGCAGCCTTGCGGCGTTAATGTTTATTGGATTTCAGATGCTTGTCGAGGTGACCTTTCGTGTTAAACGCCTTGTTGCAAATTGAACAATGATGTGTCTTGTTCGCCTTGTTCTTTGCACAGAATGCCCTCAATCTCATCGTCTCCATAGAAACTGCCTTTAGCCTGCCGCCCTGTGACAGCCTGACCTGCTCTTTGTGAGCTTTGGTATTAAGATGTTTTTTTGAGAGCTGTGATTGAGGCGAGGTTGATATCGCAGGTGTTGCAACGGTGCTTGGCTGATGCTTTAGCGCCTTCTCGAACACCAGCAGCAATTTCATGGACTCTGTCTCTGTTGCTATTCGCCATGGAATCCGAGACGGTAGAGCCGCGAATCCCAGACGTACAAGCTGCTGCTACTGCGTTTCGTACTATTGCCGAGCAACTAGTCCATGCCATTTTATCTCTGGGCCTGCGTGCTAGAAATCCTTGCAAGTCTTTGGCTTTCTGCTTTGCAACATATATCCTGCTGAGCTCCGCGTGGCGTGCGAGGTATCCTTCCAAGTCTTTGGCCTTTAGCTTAGCAATATATCACTTTCTGTACTCTGCTCGATGCACGCGTTGCTTCTCTGCATATTCAATAAGTTCATCCTCCGTCATGTCGAGTCCCTCTGGTAATTCCATAAAAGAGACATGACTACAAAGAGCAAGCCAGTCGACAGCCTCTCTTTTCCAGGACAAGATATTGGTCCAAGCGGTGTCGAGGGATTTTGGACCAGCAAAAAAAGATAATACAGAGCACGGCTTCGAGTGCAAGGAACCGGAGTCGAGCTGAAGGAACCAAAGCGACAGGAGGAATTGGTGCCGCGATGGGTTATGGTATAGGTTAAAAAAGCGAGGTAGAAGGACGGTGAAAAGTTCATGAAAGCCAGGATATTATTCAACGTTGGGGGGCTCTTAGGATATATACGTAGTACTAAGTTTAGGCGAGGAGGGAAGGTACGAATAGATGGAGGAGTCCACTACACCTAAGGCAAAATGGAAAGAGGCAAGAAGCAGCAGTAGTAGCAGTAGTAGCAGTAGTAGCAGTTGAATCATGTTAACCTGCCAGAGTCAACCTACTTCTGCCATGGGGGAAAGTACCTGTTGGGCCACCTGCTAAGTTGCGACCGACAAAAGTGCAGAAACCGCTCAGAAAGAAGCCAGTGGGAGTAACTACCGGGAGAGAAGCCGAAACAGCTGAAGCCCTGGCAACCCGTCGCGAGAAAGCAGCCTTGGAAAGTGTCCGGGACAATAACCTTCCTGATGGAGTACTGACGATTCTTAGTATATTAATTTAACCAACTGCCATAGACGAAATCTTGGTTCTTTGAAGACATTGATATTGATAACAAAGATGATATCTAGCTACTATCATCTTGCTTTCATCACATCTTTCAACGCCGAGCAATCGCTAATACCTCATAAATCAACTACCATTGCCCCCAAACGCCGTGCATGTCGTATCCCTATCCGACCACATGCCATCCTTCTAAAAACGCCCATGTTATACCCATTTGTCTCTTTCCAGGGAGGCACAAATGCGTGTGCCCCAAAGAAGCCCCTGAGCCTCCCGTCGAAAATGCCAACATTTTGTTATAGCCACAAGTAGCTTTTCAGCCCTATCACTTCCTTGAAGCCCCAAAGTTCGTTCGCTTCTTATTGGTCTGCGCGTCATTCTCGCTATCCTCCGTGTCTCTCTTCTTAGGCTTGTTCGCTTTATTCCCGCCCGCGGAAGTTGGCGTAGGATTGCCCGATGCGCTGTCTCGATACGTGGTGGATAACGGTGTCGGAGCAGGAGTCGAGCCTACCGATCCAGGAGCCGAAGAGTCCTGAAAACACAGAGATATCCAGTTAGTTTCGATGAACATGATAATGGCTGATGATACCTCAGCGTATAAATCTTCCAGACTGGGCGGTCTTACCCCGTTATTCGGTCGATATGAAATTGACGAGCGCGAAAACACGCGGTTCTGTTCCGCCGGGCCCGTCTTACGCCGCTGGGCTGCCGCGCCACTTGTTCCCTTCATGTAGTTGTCAAAGCCTGTGATGATGTTGCCGCTGGGGGTGCTGTCGAGATAGGCGGTTTCCTTTTGGGCGATGCTCTCTTCCATCGACGCCTATGACGAATTTTTTTTTATTGATTAGCATGTTGAACGATGCGCCATAACAAGGATAAACATAAAAGTATAAAAAGCTAATGGCAAAACTCACCAGGCGCCGTTCCAGTTGCCTGCGGCGGTCGACCAAGTCTCGCACGCGCGCCTGCGCCTTCTTGTACTCTGCCATGGTTGGTTGCGCTTCGCCGGGTCGAGATGTAGATGCTTGCGTGTTATCAGCCATGCGCCGCCGCTCGTATGTTCGATGGCTGTCGGCGTCACGGCGATGCGGTCGTCAAGTTGTGGATGAAATGAGGTTGGCGACCCGTATTTTTGATGCTGTCATGAAAAAGTAGCACCGAAGTTCTGGCAGCGGGATTGAGAGGCGCCGCAGCGAATGTCACTCCACTTCAGCTGATCGCTGCTTGCCGCTAGGCCTTGCAGACCAGCTAAAAGGTCATCAACACTCGCAATACTAAAAGTATGAATCATCAACTTGGCGCAGGTGATTACTTATGTATATCAATCATAAGTTACCGTCTAGATGATGCGCTCATTCTTGTTTAGCTTCTACGGGCTCCTATTTAAAGATGTATGCTGCGAGGAATGACTGTAGAGGGCTACTACTTATTAATACTGGTCCAGGTGCAGTTACAAACAGGCATCGCTTTTTCTTTCCAACGTGTACTTTGGTAGAGCTAACCAGGTTCTTTTCGGCTCATTCATGCTTGCTAAGCAAGTATGAGTGCCATTTTCTTCTTCTTTTTCTGGAGACGGGTGCTTTAGCAGCAGTTAGCCTCAGCTGTTGTTCTATGCCAGTATCAAAGGTTCTCATCTGCTTAATCTCTCTTTACAAGAGCTCACTTGGGAAAACTCTCTGGCACGGCTGTCTTTGGAGTAGTGAGCTTTATATCGTTTGATGCTTCACCACGCATCAATCATTCAGCGTCAGCCCAGAAACTAGAGACCAGCCACTCGCTTCTTCCATCAATAAAAGACTTGACTCACATCTCGAGCTGTCAATAGCTGTTTAGGGGTAGCTAAGGGTTCGGAGCACGTGATTCATCTTCCAAAGTATCAGCTAGCTTGCCATGATTTGACGGAGACGAGGGCGCAGAAGAGCTATTGCGTCTCAGCCTTTCAGATTCCTTGCCCTTTGCTGAGGCTTCATTATCGTTACGGCGACGATTATTACGGCGGCGGCGTCCGTTGTCATTATCCGACCCAGACTCATGAGCGCCGCCACCTCTTCGGCGTTCTCGTCGGCGCTTTGGAGGCGAGTTTGACCGGGGGCTATCCATGGATCGATTGCGTCGACGGACCGGACTGCGGCTACGCGCTTCCGAAGGACTCCGCGAACGAGAGGATGGAGTCGCCGAGTAACGTCTTCGTCGCTCGACTGACCGACTCCTGGAGGCAGACTGCCGTCTTCGCTTTGGTGGAGGTGAGGCGCGCTCTGAGGAAGCTGAGCGTCGATTTCGAGCGTCACGACGATCTCTACCGTTGCGCGATTGCCGTCTTGGTCGATAAGCATCTCCGCGAGGGGACCTAGATCTTTTTCTTGAATCTCTGTAACGACCGGGGCCGCCTTTGCGCCGTGGAGGACTTCTTGAGCCCCGGTCGCTGCGAGACATGCTGCTGCTTCGAGAACGCGATCGCTCAGACGCTGACTCAGATGGCGAGCGGCTTCGCCGTCGCGCCCAGCCACGATCGCGCCCCCGGCCGCTGCGATTTGGAGGCACATAGCTATCCCGACGATACGAGTCCCCGGAAGCACGGTGTCGAGTTTCGGGAGAACGTGATCTGTTTGCATTCCAACCATGACCTCCTCTCCCACGGCCCTCGGAAGCTCGATCTCCACGGCGGCCCGGTCGACCGCCCCTGTCGTTTGCTCGGTCTCGGCGATCTCGATCTTTCAACTCTGTAACTTCTCGGTCACGACGGTCGGAGTCTTCGCGGCGCTTTCTGGCAGTTTCAGCAGCTTTATCTGCCTCAATCTAGATTGCCGTTAGATCTAGCTCCAGTGGGAAATAAACAAAGTACCAACCTTTTCCTGCATCAGCTCAAGTTTCTTGGCCTCTAGCAGCTCTTTGGGTACGCCCTGCGGGTTGCCTTGAGCGCTTAACAGCAATTTCCATAGCTCCTTGCAGAATGGCGCAGTCTCTTTATCCAAAAATCCCGTAAGCTGTATCTGAAGCGATTTGATGTCGGGCTAGCAACCACAATGGTCAGCATGGCAGATTTTATAGTTCAAAATGTCGTAAACAAAGAGCAATGGGTAAGCAAACGCACGTGTCTAGGTCCCTCGATCAAATTGAAACACAGCTCGATCACAACATCGTCTTCATTGCCCAGAATTTCAGAGATCCTGTTAGCAATCCATCTGTGAGATTTGCGGTCAGCACTGGAAAAGTCGGAACTCCATGATAAGGCAGAGAGACATGGGGACCCAGTGACAAACTTTTTTATAACCTGGAGATTGACCTTTTGCATGTCAACCTTCTGGCTAAACTCGGCAGGGAATTTGGTCGACTTCATGAGCCGAGCATCTCCTGCTGAAGCCATTGCAGCACGAGTCGCAGTGGCGATATTGTGTGATGAGCGCGTCTGCGAAGCTTGTAAGATAGAAGAAAAAGGTTAGCAAGGTGACGTCTGTGCTGCTCTTAGCCAAAAGTGCCAAGCAGACTTCGTATCGAGAATTATGCACGGGCCAAGCTTGGGCCGGCATCCATCAACCCACCGGGCGCACTAGGCAAAAAGCTACCCAGCAGTACTCTCCACGTCTGCTCGTCCAAAGCGGCGCAAAAGTATAGTTGGGTAGTGGCAGCTTTAGAATGCTTCCAGGACCTTGGGCAAGCTTTCAGCGGCTAGGCTGCAAAAGCTTCAGCGAGTGCGTAGGCCTTTTACTGTCCCTGGACCCCGCAATGAGCGCCCTGGGATGTTCGCTGCTGGCGATGACAGCAGGCAGCCTGCCTGACAAAGCTCTAAAAGATTGAAGCTTCTTAGTACATGATTCTGCCATCCATACATTTACTTCTCTTCACACTCCCTCTTCCTTTGAGCCTCTGCCGGTTTCAACGCTCCAGCTAGAGCATGAGATTTGCCGCTCAGAATGGACACCCTTCATGCGCCAACCGTGCCCTCAGGGCCGACATCCAATTTGAGTCAGAGAAACGGTGATGTAGGGAACCTGAGCTTTGGAGAACTCCAGCGGAAGAAGGATGATTTGGAGGCAGAACTAAAAGCCCTGGGAAGCGTCCTTGATTCGGTACGCAAGCAAACCCTGTGATCCATCCATCCAGATAATCATCGAACCTATCATTAATAAGATGGCTAGCATGGCGTTGATATGGAAACGCCGCTGTTGACCAGAGATGGCTTTCCTAGAGCAGATCTTGATATCGCCCAGAGTATATATAACTCGGAAATTCGCCCGTTGAGAGAATGTGCCATCTAACATGCCATGCTACAGTTCGCACAACAAGAGCGCGCATCATACGCCTACGTAACGACTACAAAAGTCTCATGGGGGTGATTGAAAAGTATCTCCACGAGCATTTTGCCAACCTCCAAGAGGGAGACGCAGCCCCAAGCACGGCTGGGGAGGAGCTCCGGATTTTGCCTGATTCCCAATCCGAACAGCTGGATGAGCCGTTTGCAAAAGTTAATTCCGTTGCGGCAAACAGTCCGGCCCAGCAGGCTGGCTTACAACCTGGCGATGAGATTCGCAACTTTGGCTACGTGAACCGATCCAATCACGATGGTCTCAAAAAGGTGGCAGAATGTGTTCAGGGTAATGAAGGAGTATGTTTCACGCAGTCCCATAGCCCGCTTTGGCTTTATTTCCTAACTATGTGTCAACAGGGAAACGTATTCATCAAAGTATCTCGGCCCGATGGAGTTGCTCGTCGCCAAGAGCTGAGATTAACGTTGACTCCGAGGAAAGATTGGGGTGGACGAGGGATGCTAGGCTGCCACATCTTGCCTCTGTAGTTTATTATTAGGATGTTGGTATCTTCGTGGATGGTAATCGGCAGTTATAACAATATCAAGGCGAGGTGTAGGTGGACTGAAAACAAAGGTAAACATGCTAGGGGATGACAATATGTATTTTTGTGTGTTCTATTTCCCCTTTCTACAGTATTAAATACCACGTCACAGACGTAGATATCAGCAGTTTAATGATACTCAAGTTTGTAGTACAATAGAGAATTATTGCGCTTTCGTCTTCATCACATCGTCATAATTATATTTTTATGAGCCTCTAAAGCTAATTATACATTTTATCTAGGATACACGGCACATATGCCAAGATGCTTTTATACCTTCTTAGGTCCAACCATGAGCTCAGGCTTCACCAGGGTGTCAAACTCATCCTCAGTCAGCGCCTGGAGCTCCATGGCACTCTGCTTCAGCGTCAACCCCTTCTTGTGGGCATTCTTGGCCACTTTGCTGGCCATGTCGTAGCCAATCTTGGGGTTGAGGCATGTCACCAGCATCAGGCTATTGAGGAGAACTGTTAGCTTTGCAATGTTTCCTTTCACCATAAACAGTGGACACATATGAAGGGGGGAGAATAAGAAGGAGGCTGCTTACGATTCCTTCATGATGCTGGCAATCTTCTCCTCATTTGCCTGCAGGCCTTGAACGAGGTTCTCCTCGAATGAGCGCATGCCATCGGCAAGGATGCGCGAGCTGTGCAGCAAGTTGCGGATCATCAGCGGCTTGTACACATTGAGTTCAAACTGGCCGTTCATGCCACCGATGGAGGTAGCGACGTTGTTGCCCATGACCTGAGCGCAAACCATGGTGAGAGCCTCGCACTGCGTGGGGTTGACCTTTCCGGGCATAATGCTGCTACCGGGCTCGTTCTCCGGCAGGATCAGCTCGCCAAGACCGCATCGGGGGCCGCTTCCCAAGTATCGGATATCCTGGGCAATCTTGGTGAGGGATCCGGCCAGGGTGTTCAAGCTACCATGAGCCTGGACGATGGCGTCGTGGGCGGCCAGCGCCTCGAACTTGTTTGGCGCAGTCTGGAAAGTGATGCCAGTCATCTTGCTGACCTCCTCGGCAATGCCCTCAGCAAATCCCTCAAAGGTGTTGATGCCAGTGCCGACAGCGGTACCACCTTGGGCCAACAGCTTCAAGTCGGGCAGGGAGCTCTCGACACGCTTGATACCAAAGTCAAGCTGGGCAACATAGCCAGAGAACTCCTGAGCCAAAGTGAGAGGAGTAGCATCTTGCAAGTGCGTGCGTCCAATCTTGATAATCTTCTTGGCTTCAAAGTCGTCCACCTTTGCCTGAAGAGCCGCTCGAAGGCTGTGGAGAGCGGGCAACAGATCATTCTGGAGCTCGAGAACGGCGGCGATGTGCATAACGGTGGGGAAAGTGTCGTTGGAGGAGGCGCTTCGGTTGACGTGGTCGTTGGGGTGGACGGGAGACTTGGAGCCCATCTTGCCGCCGAGGATCTCAATAGCACGGTTGGAGATGACCTCGTTGGCGTTCATGTTGGACTGGGTACCAGAGCCGGTCTGCCAGACGACGAGGGGGAAATGTTCAAGGAGCTTGCCATCGGCAACTTCCTGGGCGGCCTGCTGGATGGCCTGTCCGATCTTGGGATCTGCCGGTTATAAGATTGAGTTGTTAGCATTTATTTTTCTTGCATCTTGCTGTTTCTGTTTCCCCTTTCTCCATCTTCTAATCATCGCAACACTCGTGTGAGGTGTGTGCTGTGTGCTGCGCAAAGGCTGTAATCGCAAAAGCCAGCGTCCGCCCCTCTTCCAATCGTACCCATTGCGACACATATACTCGCTCGCATATTACGTACCAAGGCCATATTTCATGTTCACTGTGGCCGCAGCACCCTTGAGAATACCAAAGGCCGTGATAACCGGCGGGGGCATGCGGTCCTGGGGCTGGTTGATCTTGAAGTTGCCCAGCGATCGCTGCGTCTGGGCTCCCCAGTACTTGTCCGAGGGCACCTCGATCTCGCCAAAGGCGTCGCTCTCGATTCGCTTGTCGGCCATGTTGGATCGTGTGGCGTGGATGGCTCTGTAGCTGGTGGGAATCGTAGAGGCGGTTTGCAGAAGTGAAGTCTGCGGGGTGCACTGAGGGGAGGCACGAGCAGCCGATGCTGTTCTCAGCCATAGGCGCGATCCGGCGATCGCAACCGAGGCGGTTCTTGCCGATGCACTCCGAAGCATTTTGTGTGTCTTTTCACGTGCCCTTTTCCTTGTCTTTGTGTGTCCTCAAGGAAGCGAAACGGGCGCGGTGAGGCCAATTGGACTACTAGTAGTATACAGGGAGGGAATTAATGAAAGTCGTATATTCTAGAATAGGGGAAAAAAAGAAGCAAAAACCGTAGATTCCGGTTAAGTAAATATTCGGCTACGCCTTTTTCATATTCCCAACAAACGACCCGGCTTTTCCCTTAGCAGCTATGAAACGAGGGAAAAAATTAACCTAGTGGAGGTGAAGCTTTGCAGACTGAATTGCCGTGGCTTTCCTCCGCCATCGCCGGTTGCCATTGGGTTAGCTTCAGAAATGAAGAGCTACCTCCTGGCAAGATCAAATATACGTCCATACTACTGATGTATAATTTTTCTACAGATAACCAAAAGCTAAGATTAATTAATCAATTTTTTACTCTTCATAGACACCCACCTCTTCCTTACGGTAGCTGTTAGATGACGTATTTACATGTACCAGGATATCCCTGCAATCCGGGTACCTACTCGCTTGTACATACATAGCTCCAAGCTTCAATTCGATGATGACTAACGCTACAACTGGGGTTGAGCTTAAGTGAAGGCGGAGATGAAGGGCAAAGCAGACTTCACATACTTGCCTTCATGATGAGCTTGCAGTAAGCTAGAGTTAATCTATTCTTCCCCATTATATAGCTAATGTATTGCGTAAATGTACCGTGTTGGCACTCCCCCGATACTGCTCATTTCAGTAAAGCCAGACCTTGAATTGTAGCTCTTAAGTGCAGACTCTAAATGTCAGGGGAACCTGCCCAATGTCCCCAGGAGGAAGGAAATCTTGTGTTTATGCGGAGAATGAGAGGGGACCAAGCCTTTTTACCTCTGAATCAGCTCCTTGTACTGTGATAAATGGCTTACACAAGGGATCATGGCACATCTCACAACCCACGTTTGTTACGATATATGGTAGCAATTGCTCAGACGATCACGATGGGAAAAAAATAATGTCCAACAAGCACGCTTTGTCAAACCAGCCTCCGGCATCCGATGACCTTATTCTCGTGGTCTCGCCCAATCGTACCGAGACCTTTGAGCCCCTCTCTCGTCGCCCTTCTGGTTCTTCTCTCCTCTTGTTTCTTTGCCTTTCCCCTCACCTTCCCCTGGGAGCATGCCTAAAAAGGGAAAAGGACTCGACCAGCTAGGGCAGCTGAACGCAAAATACTTTCCGAGAACTACAATACATTCACTATTCTTCAAGGAATCTCTGTCCTCTCAGCCACCGAAAACCCCACGACCTTTTGACGTTGACGTGCTGATTATTCCAGGTGATTATTGACTCAAAAAGAGAGGGCTTGGAACCATACGGCCAGCAATCTGAACTTGCCAGAGAAGTTATTCAAATAGATCAGCCCACTTATACAGCTTCACTGAGAAACTTCTACGGGGTACATTTCAGAGGATTCCAAGGACGCAGAAACGGACTTTGATGACCATAATCAAGTCATAGCGACTTTCTATTTTCACGTCAACGAGGATAAGGCTCTTACTCAAATTTTGAAGGCACATAGGTAAAAATCCGTCTTCAAGAGTGTTTTGTGGACTTTTTGATCAAGCTATCGCCTAACCACCACCAACCTGAATCACTTAAAAACAGAGTTTTTATGAAGTCAGTTTCTCGATTTCAACTCTTGTTGAGGCAAATAGGCGTGGACGGACAGGACTCCCAAGGCCACATATGAATTTCGCCGACTTATACCATATTAAGCTGCTGAGGGACATCGCTACAGAGGAAGAGATTCGCAATCCTCCTCATAGCACTGTTCATATTGATGAGCCATCATTGCTTATAGCCAAGTATGGAGCTCAAGGAGGGCTAAGGCTTGGCTTTGGCAATACTTTCATGGAAGCTATCCGTCGTTCTGATATTGCTTCTGGAGATGGAGTTACACAAGTGAGGAATGGCCTATAATCGGTTATGGCGGAGCTACTGACAGCATGGCAGCCTTTTCAGTTAAGGACGACTCAGGACCTTGTGTATGGGATATATAACGGTAGGGAATGGTTTTAATGATGACCTTGATATCACCTTTTGCTCAGCCTTTGGAGATGTTAACTGATATTCGAGCCAAAGGATTTAATGTTTCTCTTCTTTAAATAGCCAATTGGTGTTTATCCATTTGTCTATTTACTTATTTCTTTTCGCTGTTACTTTGGGTAAACAGTCAATTTATCATATTCGTACTGGAGGGTTGTCTGCTTGCTCACCTTTTATCCGGACGAACAATTTATAGAATCCAAATTTGAGTCTAGTAAAATGAGCAGATTTTGAAAGTATTTTTTTTTGCTTTCAGCTTCGCTTGATGGAGGATTTCATTTGATCACTGTCATGGTGACGGCAGATGGAGTGCTGGTGGCTGCACTAAGCCGAGCCAGACAACTTACACCAGCGAGCAGGCACTTGTAACCACAGTGACCGAAACACCGTAGCGGGCAACTGTTGGCGCTGTGCTCTGTAATATCGTACACCGCACATTCGTTGGGACCTGAGGCAGCGCTGAAAAGGAGCCTCTAGGCAAGACTTGCAGCAGCAATGCAGGGCAGCATCAGAGATTTGCGCTACGAAGTACGGAGAACAAACCAGAATCAACAGATGGGTCCCGGGTCCTGAAACAGGCAGGCGGTGGCCGTGCAGGGCACCTTGGACAGCCTAGCAGCAGCGTTTACCGCCAGCGACTCTCGCCTCCCTGCCGGCAGAAAAAAAAAATTAGTAAAAAGTAGGCAGGGAGG